TACTTCTGTCGGTCGTCAATTGTATCGAGGACAGTAGATGCTCCAAACCAGGTTTCCAATGTATGACCACATAACAGCCTCTATATATACGCGAAGATCCCGAGATAAACTCAGGTCGGCCTTCGTCTTTTCCACGATGCCACGGAACTGATCGACGCTCTGCATAATCTCACGTCGGCAAACCTCTTTCGCCTCTTCTTCCCCGATAGCACTCTCTTTCATGATGACCCAAACTGCATTGAAGACGTAGTCCTGCCCCATATCCTGTGCCGCCTTTCGTTCTTTCTCCCATGAGTAAAGGTCATTCGTCAAGCCAAGTGCGGCATATCCTGGCCTGGCTAGGCTCATGCATAGGTCGTATTCTTCGTCAGGGATTGTAAGACCCATACCAAAGGTTAACGACCCGTACCAGATCCTATTGCTATTAGCCGAATGCAGATCCCATCAATGTCTTGCGAGCATACTTACAGTTCACCTGCATCTATGACCCGAGCTGGAATGTACTCCTCCAAAGTCTCAAAAGGTGTCATTCTTGTTCGAGATGCTAACTGGACAAAGCTTGCCCATGCCTTCATCGTCGTAATAGCCCTTTGTTGATCTATAGCCATCATTTCTAGGAATATTTGTGCTTGGAGTCTTTTTTCAGGACGGCTTCGGGCAACGACGTCGAGCGCAGGGCTTACAAACGGCTGAAGAAAACTATCAAGATCTTTTGTCGGGTTCTTAAGTTCAAGCATTTCCATGTCATCTGTAAAGGATTAGTATATCCCCATCGACTAGCAAGGTAGGCTCAAACCGTCATAGAGAAACGCAAACTCATTTGCATACGAAACAACCTCAAGCCTTTCTGGGCGACATTCGGGAATGGTCACGCTAATGAAGCCGTACGGGTCGGCCAATCCGCCTTTGTATCCATGCACTGGACGTACGTAGTGTGTCCAGTCCTTCTGGGCTCGAAGTGCTCCATTGATTTCCTTGACTGAGTCCTTGTGCATTCGCAGAGGTATGCCATGATCCAAGTCATGTGTCTCATAGCGTGAGGCGTCGATTCCCTCAGAATAACAAAATTCCATGTCTCAAATACGAGAAATGTAGAGTTCTACTTAAATCTAATATCTTTTGCGTTCAGTAGCCACACTAAATAGTTGACATGAAACTGCCAAGTTTAGCCTGGTATTTTCATGGACAGTTATATCGCAGGCTCGAAATGGTCATTCAGCCGCTTATGCTTCCGGTATCAACCCTTTTTAAGGACATATCTCCGGCGCAGCGCTTAGATAAGGATAATCACCTCGATGGATCCTAGACTAGAGGAGGAAAGATCTGACAACTCGGGACCTTGATCCTAGAGGGCAAAAGACTTAGATAGATAAGCATAAGCTTAGAAACCTTTATCGAGCGTATTACGACATCCTAGATTATAGTCTCATGTTTTCTTGCTCTTTAAGAATAGCCTCGGGAGAATCCATTCATTACATGCGCACATCTTTCTCGAGAATGTCATATTGTTCCTCCCTGAACCACGGTAGTCGCTGCACTTAGCAATTCAACAATATTGATTGCTGTGACAGATCGGAATATATAACAGATCGAGTTAACCTGACTGTATTTCCTCCATAAAATACAAACAAGTTTCAATATCATGTCTGGAGACCAAGTTCTACATGATTCTAACAAGCTACCTTAGTCTAGGTGGCTGTCTGCCGTCTCACACGTGACACATTCCCTAGCGGGGTCATCCACTCTCATCATGAGCAATTGTCAGCTTCACCAAACACTCAGCAACAGCCAACCACGTCGTCTGCCTGTTCTCACCCCTGCAGACTTATCAACACCCATGGCTACGCGTATCAACGCCCCTAAAAAGGTCCGCCTGGCCTGTCGACGCTGTCGAGTCCGCCGCATTAAGGTGAGAACCAGTACCTACTTCCAGCAACTCGACCTTCCAGACTAAAGTTTTTCCTCCTTGTCTCGTGTTAGTGCGACGGTCAAGTACCCGCTTGCACCAATTGCGCAAAGGCTGGGCAGGTCTGCTTGGATGTCGACAGTCAAAACTCAGATGTTGTTATTCCCCGCAAGTGAGTACGCGTCACCACGTCGCGGAGCATTCATTGACAGTAGCAAGTTTCGTGTCTGCCGCCCGTGAAAGGATACGATGGTTGGAAGGCATTATCAGAGACCGTCTACCCGATGTAGACCTACGTTCTGGTCCTCAGGTCGATCCTTCGTCTGACCCAACAGCCCCCTCCCAGGATGAGCGAGTCCCCGAAGACACCGACATCACAATATCATCAATTCCACCAGCACCAGTAGTTTCACGCAAACGGTCAGCAGAACTATCAGGACAATCTGATCAAGATGAAACCTTCCCAGAGCGCGCTCATTCTGTCGCCGTCAATCTGGGCATGCTTTCTCTCAATATCGATTCACCTCAAAAGCATTACCTTGGCTCAAGCTCAGGACTTCTTTTCACAAACCTCATTGGAGCATCGCCACCGAGTGTAGAGTCCACTCCTCAAGGCCCTCAAGGGTACAAATATGCCGGAGAGCTCGAATGGGGTGATGACGCTGTTGCTCAAGATCAAAACAGGAAGTATCATCAAGAACTGTACAATCTTCTAAAACAAGTGAGTTCATCGCCTGGCGTGCGTTGACCTGACCTCTAATTATCAGTAGGAGCTGCCGTCGAAGCACAATGCACTCGTATTGATACACACATACATCCGTTGGATCCATCCCGACTTCCCCTTCCTCGAGCCCCTCTCTCTGTTCAGTGCCGTCGAAGCCATATATTCCTGCCTTGATGGCATTCTGGAATGTGATATATCGTCTCATGGATGGCCTGCCAATATGCCGCCATTTCGATGGAATGGTAGAGTGGTAGTCCCGGGGGTTTCTAACGAAGAAGGCGTTACATTATCAGCAGTCGCCTTTATCCTATTTATGGTCTTCAATATCGGCGCTCTGGTCAAGGTGAGATCACGGAACTACGACTTTCCGCCACAGCGTTTTTACCGTGCCGCTCTTCATTTTTCCAAGGAAGCTTTTTCACATATCACCTTGTCATCGATCCAATCTCTCATGATGCTAGTCATGCATGGTATGCTTACGCCCGCAGAGGTCAACCTTTGGACTTTAGTGCATCTTGGGCTTGCATATTGTGTTGAGACTGGCATACATCGGGAACAAAGCCAGCGGAACCCAGACGACTTCGCTGTACTACAAGTCAGGCGCTTCACCTTTTTTACGATTTACTCCCTAGATAGGTAATGCTGTAGAAGCTTGAACATTTGAGATCGTACTGACTGTGCCAGGTCCATTTCATCGATACAGGGAAGGCCGCTTGGCTTCAGGGACGAAACGTTTGACGTCAAGATACCAGAAGTGCTATCGAGCCCTGACGATAATACTCAAGGTCCACTTCCACCATCATTCATAACTGCCGTGACCCATTACTCGTCATATCATTTCAGACTGGACCGGATCGTGTCCGATATCAAGCTTCACCTATATCACCTGCCCGGTGATTCAAGCTTCTTCCCGTGGCCGGACAATCCCACGGAACAACAGGCCAGGATTCAGCAGTCTTTAAATAATTGGTGGCAGGAGGTCTCAAATGATGCGTTTGGGTTTCCCAGTCTTGATAACCGACAACGGGAAGTCTGGAAGATAAAGCTCGGATTAAAGTATCATACAACGATGGTCTTACTCTTCCAACCGTCCCAGGTCATCCGGCAGCCCGCTTCTGAGGCGCTCCAAGCTTGTTTCGACAGCGCAGCTGGTATTCTAGATGGGTATCAACGACTTCACGATCTTCATGGTCTTCATTTCGGATGGCGGGCTGTGCAGAACATCTTCGCTGCTGGCGCGACATTAATCTACTCATTCTGGACGTCACAAACTGTTCGGGAGAAGGCATCACCTGAAACAATGTCAAAGAATCTAAGAAGTTGTTCTACGCTTTTGACAATAGGAGGCGAATGGTGGCCGTCTGCAAGGAATGGTCAAGCCAGCTTTGGGTCGGTCGCAGATTTGACCATGAAAAGACTGTACATGGCCGATGCATCTAACAAAGCTCCGCGTCTATCCCTACATCAAACTGCTTCTAGCAGGCCAAGAGACGCAGGCGACGCTGACGGGCCAAGAAGTCAGCCTCCGCCTGGATTCTTAGATGAGACTGGCCAGTCGGCTGAGATTGACACCAATGCAACGTGGCAAAATCTAGACTTGGACGTTGGGAGCAACCCCGACCAATTTGACTGGCCGTCAATTGAAGGCGGATTCGATCCAGAAATCGAGATGTTCCTAGAGGATTTCAACAGATCCGATTTCACCTGGAGCTTTCCACTGAATGACAGTCAAGATCTAGACCTCTTCGGGACGGATCCAAACCCCGGCTTCTGAGTTCGGGCTACCACGATAGTGGACTGTGGGGAACGGAGCAGTCCGTCAGCGGCGAGAAATGGAGTGCGGACTACTCCAGGCTCCCTCGGCTACGAGACGAAGATTTGTAGAGACAGGTTTTTGCGATAACAAATAAAAACATGCTGATTACCATGCAAGGGCATCATAATTGTTACATGTTACTTGCCATGCATATTTTGCAACTATCGCAAGAATGCCGCTGACAGCATCACGACTCAGCATGCGACGGGTTTGCTCCGCCCGGCAGAGGCCATTAGCACAAGCGCGACGATGCTTAGCGACACATTCATCTCATGTAGCATTGAGTCCTCTCGAACCTGTTGGTAACTCTGCTCATATCTTGACGCCACATGTTGACTAGGTCACAGTACAATGCCCTCGATTACACCACCCGCCTCCAATCCCTCCGCCGCGTCCAAGGTACTAACAAAAGACCCTTGACCCTCTCCGAGAAGCTCCTCTACAGCCACTTGATCCACGACAACGATGATTGGTTACTCGACCAAATAGAACGAGGAAAGACGATCCTCCGTCTACGACCCGATCGCGTCGCTTGCCACGATGCGACAGCGACAATGGCTCTTCTCCAATTCATCAGCGCTGGTCTACCACGCGTCCAAGTGCCAACATCAGTGCACAGCGATCATCTCATTGTCGCAGAGTACGGAGCCAAGAAGGACCTTGAGCGCGCTGCGGGTGATCATCGCGAGGTCTATGCCTTTCTCAGCAGCGCAGCGAAGAAATACGGGATAGGGTATTGGAAGCCTGGTGCAGGTATCATACACACTACGATCTTTGAGAATTACGCTTTCCCGGGCGGTTTGTTTATTGGTACGGACTCGCATACTCCCAACGCCGGTGGAATGGGTGTTCTTGGTATTGGAGTTGGCGGCTCCGATGCTGTGGATGCCATGGCTGGAATGCCTTGGGAACTTGTTTGTCCCAAGGTCTTGGGTGTTCGTCTCACGGGAAGCTTATCGGGATGGGCCTCTTCCAAGGACATCATTTGCAAGCTTGCCGGCATATTGACTGTCTCTGGTGGAAAGGGCAAGGTCATCGAATTCTTTGGTCCTGGCGCTGAGACCTTGGGAGCCACGGCCATGGCCACTGTTTGCAACATGTCAGCCGAGGTCGGATCAACATCATGTATCTTCCCTTACTCACAGGCTATGGCACGGTATCTTACAGCGACTAAGCGAGGAGACATCGCTCGCTATGCTGACGGCTTCACTGAGACATTGCTTACTGCCGACCGTGGTAGCGAGGACTACTACGACGAGGTCATTGAGATCGATCTCTCAACGCTTGAACCTCACATCAACGGCCCCTTCACCCCCGACCTCTCACACCCCTTATCCCAATTCAAGACACGAGTTCAGGAAAGCTCCTGGCCCTCCAATATCAGTCATAGTATGGTCGGCAGCTGCACCAATAGCTCCTACGAGGATCTCGAGAAGGTCTACGACTTGGTTCAACAGGCCAAAAAGGCAGGCATTGACCGGCTTAGGACACCCTTCATGGTGAGCCCCGGTAGTGAGCAGATCCGTGCAACTGCGGAGGATAGTGGTATCCTACCAAGTCTGAGAGATGCTGGAGCTGTCGTCCTCAGCAATTCTTGCGGACCCTGCGTTGGGCAATGGGACAGGAAGGATGTCGATGTTGCTGGCGCTGAGAACAATTCGGTCATTTCTAGCTTCAATCGCAACTTTACTGGTCGGCATGATGGAAACCCCGCTACGCATTCTTTCGTCTCGTCACCCGAGATCGCCACTGCTTTTGCTTATGCTGGTGATCTATCCTTCAATCCCATGCATGACACCATTCCCATTGACGAGTCGGGTAACTCTCACTTCCGTTTCGCCCCTCCCGTCGCCAAGGAACTCCCAGAAACCTTTGTCGCTGGTAGTGATCTCTTCCAGCCACCTATTCTGGAAGATACGTCAGATTACAAAGTTGCCATCGATGAAGGCAGCGATCGCCTGGAGCTTCTGACGCCCTTTGAGCCCTGGAAGCCAGGCCAAGCAGAAAACATGCAAGTCCTGGTCAAAGTCTCTGGAAAGTGTACCACAGATCATATTTCCCCCGCAGGGCCATGGTACAACTATCGCGGTCACCTGTCCAACATCAGCCATAACATGCTCCTCGGCGCAACGAATGGATTCCTCCCCGACGCCAGTTCGTTAATCATGACTGGCAAGACGCGAGACCCTACAGATGGCACCATCAAGTTCATCCACAAAGCAGCGAGAGCAATGAAGAACGCTGGTATACGATGGTGCATCATTGGTGATAACAACTACGGCGAGGGTAGTTCCAGGGAACACGCTGCGCTAGAGCCCCGGTTCTTGGGTGGTGTGGCAGTCATCGCAAAGAGCTTTGCCCGCATTCATGAGACGAACTTGAAGAAGCAGGGGATGTTTCCGTTGACGTTTGCGGACCCATTGGATTATGACAGGATACAGGAGAGAGATGTTATAAGTTTGCTGGACGTCGATGGCGATGCGCTCCAGCCGGAGAAGCAAGTTACGATGAAGGTGGTGAGTAAGGATGGGACTGAATGGACGGCGCAGTTGAACCACTCGTACCACGCGCACCAACTTGCCTGGTTACGCGCCGGAAGTGCTCTAAATCACGTCAAGAAGACGATCTTGGGCAGCACGGCTTGAGGAATCCTGGACTAGAATCTGGTGGGTTTGGCGTTGGCGTTGATTGTGTATTTGCTCAAGACTGTTGGTGATATGCATATATAGTCCAATACTTAAACTTCAATGGAGACAACACAAATTACTAATCTTTTACTCGTCTTGACCTCCACGGAGTTCCCTTCACATAAGCTAGCCATTCGATGTGGAGAAACATCAACGTAATCACCATAATCTCACCAATCGTTGAAGACTAGGCCCACCGCTTGTTTTCCATAACGTTACTCACGAGACAACCTGCAATGCGCCGAGAGCCTTGATACATGTATTGTGATCATCTTTAAATAGCACAACATCTCTAAGAACCATACCAATATATTGCCACCTAGTATTTCACAGCAGCCGAAGTCATACACAACACCATCCTATCTCAATCACAAAAGATGAATTGGCAAGACATTGCCACGGAATCTCAAGCCAAAGTGCTTACTTCCATCCCCAACTGCTGGCGATTAGATGTCAATCGGTATCAAGATCTTAAAGATGTCACCAACGTGCCGTACACCTGCGGCCTGCTCACTCAAGAGCAGCTCAAAATCACGGAGCTCACTGCCACAGAAATAGTCAAGAAAGTTGAGACTCGCGAATTGAAAGCGGTGCAAGTTTTGGAAGCATTTGCTGGGCGCGCTGCGATTGCGCATCAACTGGTCAGTAATCGAACTACACAATGGTAATTGTCTGACATCAGTAGGTGAATTGTCTGACTGAATGGTTCTATGAAGAAGGTCTCGCACAAGCAAGAGAGCTTGATGAATCGTTGGAGAAGGATGTTCATCTAACAGGTGTACTTCATGGTATTCCTATCGCTCTCAAGGTAAATTATCTACCAGCCATGATCCCTTGCCTCCACTGACTCTCGCTCTCAGGACATCCATTGCATTGCAGGCCATGCTTCGACAATGGCTTTCGTCTCAGGTAGGAACAATATCGTCAGCCAGGATTCCGCTGTCGTAGCTGCTCTGCGTGCTGAAGGCGCCATATTCTTCTGCAAGACCACCATGCCTCAATCCGCTATGGCAATCGAGACAGTCAGCAACCTCTGGGGTCGCACGTTGAACCCTTCTAATCGGGACTTGAACGCCGGAGGTAGTTCTGGAGGCGACGCTGTCCTGGTCGTGATGAAGGGTACACCACTCACGCCCTCGACTGATCTCGGCGGGTCGATTCGTGTACCAGCTGCTTTCAACCGACTCCATGCTCTCAAACCAACAGCTGCACGGATCCCGAAAGGCGGGATGCCGGACCTTGGACAGAGCCTGGTTCAAGTTTCCTTTGGGCCTATTTGTCACTGCATTGAGGATATTGGATTACTGGCCCGAGTCATCAATGCTCATCCTTACAATAAGTTTGATGTGACTTGCGCGCCTGTCCCATGGAGGAGAGTCGATATTCCAGAGGGGAAGCTGAAGATCGGGTTGATGAATTGGGATGGCGTGGTTATGCCTCATCCACCAATTCTTCGGGCACTAGAGCATACCAAAAAGTTGCTGATAGAAGCTGGACACGAGGGTAAGTTCAAATCAGTTGTGAACTGTGGATTCCAAAGCTAACTTCTGTCTCAAGTTGTTGACTTCAAGCCGCCCTTCGACTGCTGGCAAGCGTTGAAGACAACCGTAAGTACTTGCTACCTGACCCGATATAATGACTAATGAAATCGAAGTTTGACATTTACTACCAAGGCGGAGCTGATGGGACCGTCGCCACACTTGAAGAGTCTGGTGAACCCATAATCCCAGCCTTTGCTGACTTACTCAAGGTCTTCAATGTTCGGGAGCTTCCCGCTTCAGAGATTCTACAGGTAAGTCGAGACACAAAAGGATGTAACTTCTATTCTGATTATTAGCAGTTGAGTGGCAAGGTACGAGACTACAAAGAGCAGTTCCTCGCAGCATGGGATAAAACAGCCCACGACGGCCGTCCCATCGATGCCTTGATATGTCCTCCGGCACCTGGCGTTGGCTATTCTCATGACTTCAATACATACTGGGGATACACTTCACTCTTTAATCTGATTGACTATCCTGCTGCGATATTGCCGATACCAGGCCTCAAGGTCAGCTCTGAGCAGGATCCTCTTGATTTGGAATACGTACCGTTGGACACGAATCCCTATGATAAACCCAACCATGAGACTTGTAAGTAAGACCCTCATATTATTACATATACAGATACTAATTGTCCACCATTGACAGACGACCCCAGCCTCCTCGAGAACCAAGCGATAAGTATACAAGTGGTTGGCCGTCCTTTCGAAGATGAAGAACTCATTCAAGTATGCTCAACCCTTGATGCATTGCTTCGCAGTCTCTAGCAGACTCAAATACAGATTAAATTGGCTTTTTCATTTGATGCTATCAATTGATGAAATGTGTAGTAAATAGTGATAATACGGTCTGATCTCTATAGCATTATATCCTACCAAGCAAGAACTGCCCCACCATGGTATCAATTAGTCTCCCAGCTTCCGCCGCTTGTCAAAGACTCTGTCATGTAAGTTGAGCATATTCAAGAGCGGTTGAAACCACCGCTCTCCCGGATCCTGTTCAAAAACTTGAGAACAGCTGGTGTAACCTCCTCAGGCCTCTCCATCATAGGCGCATGCCCAACACCCTTGACAGCAACAACCTCGCTATCATCAAAGTTCGATGCGACCCAGCGAGCTTCCTCGATAGGGTCAGTCCAATCAGGATCGGCATCTCCATAGACAGCCAGTACCGGCGCCTTGACTTTGCTGATGTATGGTGCGACAACAGCGTGGTCGGTAGATAGTGTAGCATGGAATGCCTTCCAGCGACCAGGGCCTGTCAGCATTGCGATGGATCTGTCAACTCGTTCTTGGACCTTATCGCCAAGACCGGGCCAGAGCTTAGGGGCGTATGACTTCCAGATCATAGGGCCTATAGGTTGACGCATTGAGAGGCGGAAGAGACTGGCGACAAGCTTGCCAGTTCCAGGTCGAAGGAATGCTCCAAGGAGAATAAGGCCAGCGACCTTTTCGGGATGGCTTCCAGCAGCGATTGTAGCAGCTGCACCGGAGAGAGAGGCACCGGCTAAGACAGCGGGCCCTCCGCCGTAAGCGTCAATCAGAGTAATGAGATCATCGGCGGTAGCTTCATCGCCATAGCGGTTAAAGGTAGTGCTACTGTCGCCATGACCTCGAAGATCAACCATAGCGACTCTGTAACCAGATTTACGAAGCTCGGTAGCCAGAGCGTCGTATGCGTCGCGAAAGTCTCCCATTGCGGGGGAGCAGATGACAAGAGGGCCGTCACCAGCGATATCGACGGCGAGCTTACCACCGTCTGTTTCAATAAATGTGACAGTCATTGTGAGTGTGATTGGTGGGTTGTATAATAAGTGTAAATGGCAAGAAGTTGGGTGTTGCTTAATGCAGTTTGTAATCAATCTTGAAATGGATGTATTTTTTTGAGATTGCTGATGATGAATATTTCCAACCATAAGCAGAACAATCTATGATATATATAGTCAGATTTGCATCCTTCCACGACTGCTTGTGATTACTTCCGTGCCTCTGCGCTGCATTTTCGGGTCTGGAGGGCGAGCTTCGACCGATAACTCAATCACACAAGTCGTTGATTGGCTCGAGCAAAAGCACGAGAAAATGCCGAGACCAACGCGAGACCAAGAATTCGGTTGGACTCTGTGATTCGTTACGCCAAGTGTCGGCTCTCGGTCCTTTTATTTTCCGTCGCGTAGATTAGTTGCTTTGGCGTGATAAGATAAGATGCGTCTTATCTTATCTCTCGCTCATCTTCACTGTAGTCTGCAGGGTAGTCAATGTAATGTTTTAATCTTTGTACTGCGAGACTTCTCGGTGCCAACAACTCTGCAGTGTGACTCTTTTTCTAGTATGTTATCTAATATGATCTTCGTCTGCCCCGGTTTGTTGCCATTGCTTGCAGTTTTCCTGTCTTCGAGGGTTATCCCGTTTACTTGCTCCGCCACGCTCTTTCTGATCTTGGAAGGAAACCATCACGGAATACGTTTCTACCGAATTACTCCATGTCTCAAAAGTATCGCTCAGATGGTTTTTTTCAATATGAGAGTGTATAAGTATTGGCATATCTATTAATAAGGCTCAGACTTCAGGAAGTTTCAATCCCACCAAGCTCTCACAAGCATCAACAACCCGCTCCTGCAGCTCAATCTGACTAGACTGAGGAATTGGCTCTGCTAGCTTCCTCTTGGGCTCAAAATATTTACCCGTCAAGCTCTGATCATAGTCTCCCTCAGCCAGCATAACATATGTATCGACTCCATCCTCCAGCTTATCTGGCCCATCTTCACCACCAAGCTTGGTCGCAATCCATCCGGGATGAACAGACATGACTGACGTGTTCTTGAAGCGCCTGGCCACTGCATTTGCCAGCAGCATGACATGAAGCTTTGAATCGCAGTATGAAGGGAAGTCTTGGAACTGAGACTCGCCTCGCTCAAGCCAGAAAATATCGTTGACGCTTGTATCGGCCTGGGCGTGTAGTTGAGACGCGATGTAAATGAGTCTCTTGGGAGGTGTTAAGAGACAGGTGAGAACATAAGGCGCAAGGACATTGACGGCAGTCTGAGCTGGGATGCCGGTGTCGGGAGTCTTGCGGAATGGTCCAGCCATCAAGCCAGCATTGTGAATAATGGCATCGAAAGTTCCGACAGCATTGACCTCCTCGGCGAGCTTTTTCGTCTCTGACACGAGTGTCAAGTCTGCTACAAAGGCGCCAGCAGCCCCAGGGCAATTTGCTTTGGCTTCTGCTGCGCGTTGAGCGTTGCGCGCATGAAGATAAACGGTGTGATTGCGCTTGACAAGTTGACGAGCAGCTTCAAGGCCCAACCCATCAGCTGAACCAGTAATGAGAATGCGAGCCATCTTTGTAAAGTAAATTGAAACAAAATTTAGGTTTGGAGGTCTAATGGTATTTATTGCTAGACTGTAAATATATGTCGAAGAGAAGACGAGAAAATTCTTTGAAACTTGGCACCGAGCTCCGCGCCGTAAAAACGTCAACTGCCGGCTTTCAAATATCCAGATTGGCTCCTAGCGTCCCGCATTGACGTATAACCTCGGGGATGCTAAACTCGTTTCAGTTGACGATTTCCGCGCGAGCTGTGGATAGCGGATATACCGGACTTTGAACACTACCGGGAATGGGTCTGGCGGATGAAACCCAACGCCGAGATGCGGCTATGGGTCTGCCGGATCATTTTGCTCACCGAGATATATAGATAAGGGAACCTGTTTTTAAAATGGGCCTTGCCCTGCATTGATGGTATTTGGAGAACCTTGATTCACTATGTGAGCTCTGTCTAAATGCGGTCTACTGATAAGACATGTCTATCGGCCTTATCACAGCTTCAACTGCGTTCCCTTCCGGTGATCAACGAGCTGCCTTAACACCAACGCCGACTTCTTCGGCGTCCTCTCCAACGTCTCGTAGTCCGTAAACGTCACTCCAAACCTGGGTCCATACCCATCAGACCACTCGAGATTATCCATCAACGACCACGCAAAATATCCCTCGATGACAGATCCGTCTTCACCGACCGACCTGCCGATCGCATCAAGGTGATCCTCAAAGTACTTAATCCTATACTCATCCTGCACAGATTCCCCACGCGTCATCTTGTCCTCACCTGGACAGGGACACCCGTTCTCCGTGATGATGATAGGTTTCCCGTAAAGACGATACACACGTGTGAGATGTTTGCGGAAGAGGTCGGGGCAGGATCGGAGCCAGTGTAGACCACTTTCTAAGCCGACAGGGTCGCCAGCTTTGTTGGTTTGAAGCTCGTCGAGGTTGCCGATGTAATCTGTGTCTGGTGCTGGGGAGGACTTGTGCCGTGCGAATTGGGAGGTGTAGTAGTTCATGCCGTAAAAGTCACTTTCTGCTGAGCGAAGAAGTTGGAGTTCTTCGGATGTGAACTGCGGGAGGCGGTCTTTGAGCTGATCGCGCATGCACTTTGGGTAGTCTTGTCCTAAGCTTCGCCATGTTAGTATGTCAATGATAGACAGCGGAGAAAATCGGACAGGGCTCACAATATGGGGTTGGCAAACCAACCGATATGGAACTGCATCCGTCGCTCAGCAGCTTCACTGTCTCGGGGATCGCTGCTATCCCATGGCTCGTAGTAATCTCCATTCAATGAGATTCCTATTTGGCCTTTCTGTGATGCACGGAAGTCTTGGTTATAGGCTGCGACGGCACGAGCGTGGCTCATAATCAGAGCCTTACCAACAATCCATGGCTCTGTTGAAGTATTTCCTTCTGTAGACTGAGAATTAATGCTGCTTCGTCCTGGAGCATTTCCTCCAGTTGCGTAGCCCTGGAACGTATTGTGAGCAATTGCCTGTTATCTTCCCCAAGAAATAGCTTACGAATATCGAGACAATCCAAGGCTCATTGAGTGTAATCCAGTGCTTCACTCGATCACCAAACCTCTCATAACAAAGCCTCGCATATCTCTCAAAATCCTTTTGAGACTCTTCAACATCCAACCATCCACCGTACCTCTCATGCAACGCCTGAGGTAAGTCCCAATGATAAAGCGTGACCCATGGCGTGATACCTCTCTTGAGACACCCGTCAATAACTCTATCATAGAAAGCAATACCAGCTTCATTCACAGGATCATCTCGTCCACCAAGAGGAATAACACGAGACCATGAAATCGAGAAGCGATACATATCAGATCCATATCTCTTCAAAAGATCGAGGTCTTCTTCAAGGCGGTGATAATGGTCACAGGCAACATCGCCGCTTGCACCTTTTGTTCGTGTTGGTTCAAGATGGCAGAAGACATCCCAGATTGAAGGACCGCGACCATCTTCTGCGACGGCGCCTTCAATCTGGTAAGACGCCGTTGCGAAGCCAAGTTCGAAGTCGTTAGGTAGAGAAGGCATTGTCGTCTGTGAACTTGACACAAAGGTCTCTAGTGACCAAAAGAAGCTACATACTTCGGCATTCTTTATACCGTGGAATTACGGGCCGATAAGATAATACCCAACTCGTCGTGATTGTCGATCGCGGTGAAATTCAGTTGATCCATTGAGTAGTTTCCCCGACGGTGAGGGGTTTCTTTGAATAGCGCGATGATCTATTTCTCCGTTTCCCCGTAGCTTCATTGAGCAGACCATTCCCCACGGGGAAGTTGGAGACTAAGTCGAAATGGGGCTTTTTCGCTGTAACCTTGGTTCATGGCATGTTTCTAAACCGAGTCTTTCTCTTCTTCAGTGTCGCATTGTGTATATATAAGTATGCTGAAGATCGCCGAGTCTATCACAAGACTGCAAACACATCATTAGTCACTCTTGACGACCCTTCTACACCTCGTTTCACGCCGGCTGCAATAACGTCAACATGGCTCCGAAAGCGGCGCACGCCACTGAAGATATTCAATCCCCCATTGACCTCACCACCGTTCCACCATTTTGGAAACGCAAGAATGGCATCCTTTTGTACTTCTTGCTAACTTCCTCTCTGTTTGCCAGTATGGCTCTTGGCATTGATGGGTAAGTCTATCAGTAACCCGCAACTCGCTACCCATACTGACTCATTGTGCAGCTCTATGACCAACGCCCTTCAAACCCTCGAGAGCTGGCAAGACCGCTTTGGCCATCCCACTGGTTCCAAACTTGGCTTCTTCGGTGCCTCCAACGCTATCGGAGGTGTTATACCATTCATCTTCCTCGGTTGGATCAGTGATGTCGCCGGCCGTCGTGTTCCAACTGCCATGGGATCCGTCGTCATTATTGCTGGTGTCATGGTTCAACTCTTTGCGACCTCGCTCAATATGTTCATCGGCGGCAAGATTGTTCTCGGAATCGGCTCCTCGCTTATTCAGATGGGTGCTCCCGTCTTGGTCACCGAGCTCTCGCACCCCAAGGAGCGTGTGCAGATCACGACGCTGTACAACACAAACATTGTGCTGGGCTATGTCATTGGTGCATGGGCGACATATGGATGCTTCCGTATTCCCAACCAATGGTCTTGGAAGCTCCCTACTCTTGTTCAAGTCATTCCATCGGCATACCAGCTCATCCTCATCTTTTTCTGCCCCGAGTCACCTCGTTGGCTGATCGCAAAGGGAAAGGTTGACAAGGCTCGAGAGATTCTGATCAAGTACCACGGTGAAGGCGATTCCGACAGCGAATTGGTCAAGTTTGAATGCGCTGAGATCCAGCAAGTCATTGCCGAGGAAGCGGAGCAAAACATGACCTGGAAGGAATTCTTCTCATCCATTCCTAACCTCAAGCGTATTTCGCTCTGCTTTGCCACTGCGCTTTTCAGTCAGAGTTCCGGCAACCTCCTTGTCTCAAACTATTTGACCCAGATCCTCAAGGATACCGGCATCGAGGCTGAGAAGGACATCACTCTTGTCAACGGCATGGTTACTCTCTGGCAGTACATCGTTGCTATCACCATGACTCTTCTTGTTGACAAGTTCAAGCGCCGTACCTTCTTCCTCGTTGGATCTGGTGGTGTTCTTGTTACCTTCATCATGTGGACTATCGCCGCCAAGCAGTACCTCGAGGGATCACTGGCCGGTGGTCGAGTCGTGCTGGCTTGTATCTTTCTCTTCCAGGGCTTTTATACTTTCGGATGGACAAATTTGGTTGTCACTTATCCTCTTGAGATCGTCACCTATCAGATGCGAGCCAAGACTTGGGCATTCGTTCTGCTCACAATTCAAGTCTCTTCTATCTTTGGTGGCTACGTTAACCCAACTGGTCTGGAGGCTATTGGATGGAAGTTCTACATCTACTACTGTGTCTGGGTCGCCATCATCTTCTTGGTCGTCTACTTCTTCTTCGTTGAGACATCGGGACCTACGCTGGAGGAGCTTACGTATCTGTTTGAGGGTAAAGATGCAAAGCAGGAGATGGTCAAGGAGATTGAGGTTAAGAAGGAGGAGCACGATTTCATCCACGAGAAGGGAGTCTAAGAATCACCTAAAGAGGGTAAATCTGTGATAGTGTTATTACAAAGAGCTAGTGTATCAATGAAGAAGTATTCCGCAACGCATCAGAAGCCTTAGAGTCCAGTCTCGTGAGTAGATCAAGTAGAACAGCAAAGTCGCTACGCGCTCTAGCAGCGATAGGTGAAGACCCATTTCTGTGAATGATTTCCAGAAGACTCGCACCGGTGAGCCGTATCTTCTCGACCTTAATAGAAACATCTAATTAGCTTTATCAGTAACAGTGCGAATTGATGCACTTACATAAGGTTCGCCGTTAACTTGGAGTGACCAAAACGGAGCTTCTTGAATAACCCTCAGCATATCTCTCGCAATCTCCGTCTTGCGCAAATCCGAGTGCCCAATCTCCGATTTATAGTACGGAAGATTCTCCAACTTTTGAGTTATCACCATTCTCAAACAATGGATGGAGACTTGCAGATTCGCGCACTGGATCAGGAATTGCTTGGTGGTTTCCCTAGACTCATCCGCTAACGCTGCAAACGTATACGACTGCAAATATGGTGGTAGATCATCAAGACAGGTGATGAACCTAACATAAAGAGCATCCAGTCGATCCTTTTCCTGGGCGCTGATCAATGGTTGAAGATTCGACATGCTGAGATCTTGTTGGTTTCGGTCCTGCATTAGTCGCAACTCAAGGAGCAGATCAGATGCATTCTGCCAAAGACGCAGATTGGCATTGAAGCCTTCGATGCAAGTTATTCGCACAACATCAGAATTGGTCACGAGATTGCCAGGCGATAGAACAGGCGCTTCGTCCTCAATGCCAGAAGGGTACGACGTGGTTATTCCAGACTCGAATGAGAATTTGTGGATAGTGATGGGTCGATTGTTCAGTATGGCAGCTGATTTATCGCCCATGTACACGATCCAGAAAGCTCGACGTCGCAATTCAGCTTCAATCGGTTGCAAACCCTCAAGGGAAGTTTCCAGGTTTAATTGCATAACCTGCGCAAGTCGCGTGGCTTCACCAAAAATGTGCCACGAGTACTTGGGCTTTCCCGCTGCATGAAGACAATTTGAGTGAAAGTACCGAATGGTGATTGAGTTCGCATTCGGATTCTCTAGCTCCGCTTCAAGATATTGATTCAAACATGATCTCGAAGCATTGAGAAAGATGTCGGCCACTGATTGACCCTCTGGGAATAAATCCTTCGGTAATAAAAACGCTGCCTCGGCGCAAACAGCAGTGATAAGTGTAAATGTCGTCTCCGGCCATAGCTCCAAAACCCCTGTACTAAAATTCTCAGAAGGGTACTGCCCAAAGTACGAAAGCGAGTCCCTCAAACTCGGCTCATGAACCAGCGGCGTTAGCGGGTAGAGATACTCAAAAAAGAAATCAAAACACCGCGTAACAAATTGCTGCAGATCATTCGAAATGAACGCTAGCGCTCGCGATAAATTCTGCCAGCGCTGGTGACTCGTTACATCACCGCTAACGAGCAAAGGCGGCGAGAGTCCGAGATCGACAGCGTTGGTTTCCCATTGGGAAGATTGAGGAGGCGGTAATTCCGCTGTGGAACTGGCTGATTTTCTGGCGCGGATTTTGGGGCCGCGACGGGCGAGGGGGAGATTGAAGGTGCATTGTGTGCCTGACTCCCTGCAGCTGGTACAACGCTCGCCTTCTGTAAAGTCGCACTAAAGATTCCGTCAGTGGGTGAGTTTCGCCGATGGGAGAGAGGAGGCTGGTAGGTACCTTTGCTTTTCGCCGACGACAGCGGTCACAGGCTCGGTTCTTTTGGGCTGGCGTGTTTGTACCCGGAGATTGAGGGGAATCTGGCGTGGGGCTTGTCATTGTGTGGTGTGAGATTGAAGAGGCAAAGAGTGGGAAGGATTGAGACGGGGAAATGCAGCGGTAAAATAGATTCTGTCGTGAGGTGATTCTCCATTTCTCCGTGAAGATCTATTCCTCTTTTGATAGTCGTGAGCCGACAAGCGGGGTTGAGTCTGGGGAAAGAAACCTTGTTTCTGGGCTCAATACGTACCCAAGTCGGCATTGGTTCATCCAAGATCCTGGAAATGTCGTGCAAGTCATCATTTCCCATTATATAAAGACAGCCTCGTCATCCTCTTTGCCTCTTCGACCAGTATAGAGACACAATTGAGCTCGGAGACGACTCAGTCACTCATCATGAAGTTCTCGCTAACCCCTGTTCTGGCTGCTTTAGCCCTGTCCTTACCACTGGCAGCGGCCTCACCTCAGTACTCCAACCCCAAAGCTCCATCTTGTCGCTTCGGCCTTGAATGGTCGCAGAAGGATGTCCTTCAACATACCGACGACTTCATCTGGGACCTTCTCTACTGGGAAGGTAAATTCCATCAAAACGATGTAGCCTACAATACCCAAAATGGCATGTCCTATGATGGAACCCAGCTTGATTGGAAGACTGGCAAGCGCACTAACAAGCATACGTTCAGCGCAGCCAGCAAGGAGGTCAGTCATGCTACGGTCCCGGATACCGAGAAACTTTCCTAACGGTACTGTGTAGGCACTGCAAATTATGCTCTATGCCCAGGCTATCTCTGGATCCAAGGAAGCTGCCCGCTTTTTGACCCCGGATAATCTCAAGGCTGCACCAGGCTTCGCTGCGTCAATCATGGAGACGAAGCTCAAGACTTACACTCAGTTCAACCAGACATATCCTGGTTTCGGCGGCTTTCTTCCTTGGATAAAGACTGACACTACCACCATCTCTCCCCAAGACGGTTGGGATGACCGTGTTCCTGGCCTAGACAATGGGTAAGCAATCGGACTTCGACTTCCTCGTCCGTGCTAATAACTTATGTTCAGAGAGCTCATTTGGGCCGTGTACGCCTGCATTGAAGCTCTGCAGAAGCAGTCCAACCCCAAATTCCACAAGATCGCCGACGGCTGGCAGACCTGGTTCAACTACGTCGCTTCAACTGCCCCCAAGATCTTCTACATCGGTAAAGGAAAGGTCTGTGCTGTTACAGCAATCGGTGATCAGACACTTCCAGTCAATGATAAGAAGCAATCTTACAAGTGCGAGTCAGAGACTTATCTCGATGACCCTTATGAGGGAGAGCTTTTGACTTACTTCTTCCAATTCTTCACTAATCTGTCCAAGAAAGATAAGCAGACTCTCTGGGAGTATAAGAGAGCCAAGTTGGAGAAGGCTGAGTATAACAAGGGTGGCGTTGGTCCTATCACTGTTCGAAAGGGTTTCTGGTTCTCTAGCCATGAAATTTGGAATCAGCTTGAGCTGCCATACCATGATGTTGATATTGTCAGGTAAGTGTCATGAGTTGTGTCGAAAACAGAAATCTGACCATCTAGCCGCCTCTTCAAAAACGGCGAACGTGCTCGTACTTGCAACTCGGTGGTCACCAAGACCCCCGGCCTCTACGCCTCCGTCAACAACTCTACCGATCCCGAGACAGATCAGATCATTGGCTACATCTCGCCCGCCGGTATTCCCTCCATTGCCAGCCAAAAGGACCAAGAGCTCGATGTCATCACTCCCTATGGCGTCTTCCCTGTTGTATTGTTCGATAAGGCTGTTGGAATGGCTTGGTGGAGGAACATGATCATTGGAAAGAAGATGCAGAGTAAGACTTATAGAAATCGCATTAGACATGATCGCTGACAATAGTGCCACAGATCCTTACGGTAGCACAGAGTCCACCCGCGTCGACGGTAAGGGCGTTTCGGCACTCGTGACTTGGGATAGTAAGGTCACTACGGTCCTCTCACTCATGAATGGAGTCGTGGATCTAGTTCGCCAGCGAATGAAGTCTGATGGTATCTACAACGAGTTCCTGAAGATTACAGAGGTAAGTTCTCCGAGATCTGTTATTAATCTCTGTCCTAATAAGGTGTTTGCAGCGTGAGCATGTTAGGGTGTTTGGCAATAATCTCAAGGGCGAGGATATCGAGTTCTGTCTCCCCAAGAACAAGGTTCCCGACGCAGGGCTCAAGGACTTCACATCTTGTCAGAAGTGAATGGGACATAATGTATGGATATCGAAGCGACCACTTGAATAGATATGGTGATTACTGTACAAGATGAAAGCAGACCTAGAAGGGCCTCCGAAGATCTTTCTCTCATGCATGACCCCCATTTAGAAGCTGAGCTTCTGGCCTGCCTGTCCCGGAACGGTTGAAGCAACCTTTCCAGATCCCAGAAGTGTAAACTGATACGGAATCTTGCTTGAGCTGAGTGTCCCCTTTGGAGCAGTGTTTTGACTCTCGCCGCCTAGAACGACGTCTTCTGCAACAACATATCCGACCTCGGAGCTTGACTCGCTGAAGATAGCCTTCTTTCCGACGTTGGTGAACACAGATGATTGGATAAGAGCCTGGGCACCCATGCGGCTGTTGAGTCCAGTGTCCATGGTATCATAGTACTGACTATAGACTGTTTAGTGAAAAGTCAAAGTTGAGATTCTTTGGAAACGTACTTGAAGATATGGGCAGTGCCAAAGCGAAGGAGAGGGCCTCGGCTTCTGACGTTGTTGAAGTGGTTGTTAGCGTATGTAACACGCAGCGTACCAACGTCCTCGGCTGCGTTCTTATCTGAGTGTCCTACGAGTGAGCCCTTGGACTAGTGAACGGTTAGCCAGGTCACCTTCTAAGTTTTGGGTAGGAATGGGGATTACTTACGTGGTCATGGAAGTAGGTATAAGAGATGGTAACCCAGTCAGCGGCGTGCGACAGATCGACCAAGCCATCGTAGAAGTCCTTGTCATCACCTCTAACAGCAGAGAGATCACAATGGTCAACCCAGACATTGGTAGATTTCTGAATGGTAATCGCATCACCGTAGTCAGCTTCAACCTTGGAGATCTTCATGTTACGGACAATGACGTTCTTCTGTCCGTTGATGGTCAAACCAATGCCAGTAAGGGCTTTGCAGAACTGTCAGTACAACACATATGCGAGAACATGATTTGCCTACAGCTGCCAGTCTTTCCGATAATGGACTTGTTTGAGGTAACTTGAACCTTGGCTGCACCAGAGATACTGCCTTGCACGAAGATGACAGAAGGTCCATCTGCTGCGGCTGCGGCGGTGAGCTCAGCGAGGGTCTTCACTGTGACCTGTGCAGCGCTTCCGCCTCCAGTTGTACTACGCGTATCAGAATCTTCATTGTGGGCGCTCCGAACTGATGAACTTACCCGCCATTCTGAGTGCAGTAACCGATGTTGCACGGGTCATTGGCCGCAGCTCTGGCTTGGAGGCCAGCACCGGGAGCTGCGACAGCAAAGCTGGAGAAGAACAAGATATCAAAAAGTCTCATTTTGGGGAGAGTCTAGTGGTTCTCAGAGATGTGGTTGGGGGAGAGAACTGCCAAGTTGAGGATATACGTAGTCTTAAATACAACTTCACATCCACAGAAGCCGCCATCTTGGTGATCTACAAGTTTCGGAATGCGCAATTACCCCCAATGTACATCGATTCTCCCTACAAATTAACTATTTCATGAGTCGTTGCGTTTCAGTAATACAATGTAGATACTTGGACAAGCTATGCTGATTGGTGGAAGATGTAGACAAGATCTTCCGTTCGTCGATGCCTTCCCCCAAAGTTAACGCAAAACACGAACTGCGGTCTGCACTTCCTGTACAGCGCCTGGAATTAAGGCTACTCTTGTGGTATTTGATGAGCTGCTAGAAGAAGGGACCGTAACATCAATCGGAAGTCCTTCCTCCGCATAACTGAATCGGGATCTCGATTGTGGGATAATGGGGGCTTGACATGGCTTGGCGTAGTTGAGGGCTGACGACGAGGCATGAGATTCACAAACTTAGAGATATTCTCAGTTCAGAGCCATCATTGCGACGGTCATAGTTCGTGAAGAATATTGCTTTTGATAGTTGTTAGAGCTCGCGGCCCTAACACCGACTCATCGAGGCATATATGATATCATTACAGGGTTGAAGATTGAGTTAACATAAATGTACCGGTATAAAAGCGTTCCCAAGGCAAAGAAATATAGATAATACTTTGTATTGTACGTCTTTCTAGACTACACGCGAGATCTCCAAAAACCCGTTCTACGAGGTGAGTCCTTATCCTACCTTATCTAACGTTGAGTTTCTTATCTAATCTTATCGATCTGGTCCTAGACTGACTACCATGGCTGGCAATCGGCTGGCTCCTTGAACCAGCGAGACCAACTCAGGATGCTGCCTAGTCATGAGATCCGGCATTTTCACATGCGTTTAGGCTTCCATTCGACCATGCTACCATCTGTCGATCATCGCACCAAGCGATGCCTTCCAGGCGTTCATCCGGGTGCATCAGCCGACCACTAACGCAGGTCACTCCCATCCATCACCTCAATCACCAGCTCCCATTATTGTCCAATCCCCTCCCCTAGAGATACGCTCACAGTGCGCGACTTATCTATCAAGTGGGTGGCTCATGCTTATCGTTGATAGGCTTTCCCCGCAGCCAAGCTTAAGTCCATTAGGATCTTTTGTTGGCGTGTAATCCCTGTCATGAACGCATCATCACCTTCCCAATTCGAGAACCTCCGAAGATAGTCGAATGCTTAAAAGGTTATTTAACTGGCCGATACACCACGTCTTGCTTCTGCACGTTTCTGAAGTGGAACTTATCGATACTGATGCTTTTGTCAACATATCACGTCGTGCCAATCACTCTTGCTGCTTGTGCTGTGCTTTTGAACATCCCAGCAGTTTTAGCAGCCATGGCGGACCGAAAGGTAAATAAGTATTAATTTGCTGAGAAACATTTGTTAACTGGGAATCCTGTAGGCCATTATTTATGACTTCGAGAAGTTGGAGGATTATCAGCAGAGAAATGAAACCGTCCTCGAGTCAGTAATGCATCATTATGGATAGACTCCCAAGCTAATCACCATACCAGCATCGTCAAAAAGGACACTGGTGTCGACTTCTGGAGACAGACTCGAACAATTCCTCCTACTTCCTATCCTCCGTAAGTATGGCACTCCTGTTCTCTTAACCAGAGCTGACGCGCCTTGGTGGCAGACCGATGACTTTGGAGGCTATTGAGAAGCTGAAGGAAGTCAAGGGTGTTATAGTAAAGGATGCTCCTACTGAGGAACTGTAGTTTATTTACTATTCGGTTCTTTCATAAAACAGTATTTGTTTGGCAGACTGATGATTGTAGTCATATTTATCTATAAATTGTATCCTGTTGGTTTTCGGTTCACATATGTCTATTGAGCAGTCGACCTGAAGTCTGTTCTGCATGCACAATTTGCATTTCCCTTTCTCTTACAATATTGACGTTGATTACTTTACCTCACTATTTGAAAATTTAACGCTGATACCGTTCTAGTGTACAAACGCTTCACACGCAGATACTTGACTAATTGCTAGCCATGAGGCAGAACTGTTCGTTACCTATATAGAGCATCTGTAACTGATTTTCATATTCATAATACTTCACAGACAGAACGTTTTGATGCCAATCCATCGTTTTGGGTCACTTCACACGACTCGCAGCCTAACTTCGAGGCAGGCAGGTCGTGGATTAGTCTTGACTTACTTTCGTCCTGCTCCAACATTTCACGTTGTTTCTATTGAAATCAATATTCCATCAAACTTTATATTCAGTTTGGGCTATCTAGATTGCTTTATTACAAACAACCAGGACTAAGATCCAACTGAAACCGACTCATATCTTCTCAACTCGTCAAAACCTGTTTCTCGAACAGGTTTCGTATCCAAGACTCAAGCTAGAGAATATCCAAAGAACATCTCAGCGCTTCCAATAAGGTGCTTAAGCATAGGTGTCAATGAAAGAGCGGAGAGCACCAACGCTGGCATAGACACCAGCGTAGTTGGGGCGGGCACATCCGTTACCCCAAGAGACAGCACCGATGAGAGTGTTGGAGCTGTCGACGATGGGACCGCCGCTGTCACCCTGGCAAGAGTCCTTGCCGCCGGAAGAAACACCAGCACAGAACATCTGGTTGGTGATGGCGGAGGTACCGTACTGCTGTCGGCAGGTAGCACGAGAGACAATAGGGACGGTGACCTTCAGAAGGTTGGTGGGAGTAGAGCTGCTTCCCTCAGAAGTAGCACCCCTGGATGAGAGTTAGCATACAGTATCTCAGATATTAGAGAACGACTTACCAGCCAGCAACTGTGGCAGAAGATCCAGCGACAGGGTCAGAGCCGGAAGCAGCCAGGCGAGCGTAGCCGATGTTTCCGCTGGCGGGGATGGAAGTAGAGAGCTTCAGAATAGCAAGATCGTTGTTGTTTCCGCTGTAGCTAGGGTGAACTCTGACGGAGGAGAGCGACGAGGTAACACCACCAGAAGTGCGAGACTGTCACAAGGTTAGTGAGATTTTTCCTATACCCCAAAGAGTAGATGACTTACAAGACTACCAGCACGGATCTGGAAACCGCTCTGAGCATATCCGGAAACGCAGTGAGCAGCAGTCAAGACGGTGTTGGCGTTGAGGAGAGATCCTCCACACCAGGCACCACCGTTGCGGCTGATGCTCACGATGAAGGGGAATTCGCCAGCGCTGGCAGAAGTGCCACCAACGATGTTGGGGATCTCCTGAGGAGCGGCAGCAGCCAGGGGAGCAACAAGTGCAACGACGGAAGCGAACTTGACCATTGTGAAGAGATAGATATCCAAGAGATGAGAGTTGAAGAGTGAAGAGTGGTTGATGATAGACTACTTTGAATAGTCCATTGTGATCCTTTTATATTCGAGAATCAACATAGCTATGGATGTTGTTGTGGTTTCTTACCTGCCTCTCTGGTTACTATCCCGCGATAAGCTTGCTTGGTAGTATCTTCGGAGTTTGTGAATAGGCGGACCTGCCTTTCTGGTACTAAGCTCCGTTGTTCCGTAGTCTAGTTCGGCATTTAGAAGAAGCATTAACCTTATCATTCTCCCGTGAAAGTGATCGGCATATAAGGCCCTTGGCAGCAGGGGTCAGTATCCCGATGAGGAAAGTCGATAACTCTATCGCCAATAACACTGTGGATATGACGGATAAATAGGATGAAAGGTGAACACTGGACGAAAAAGAGCTTCAGAATGAATGTAATTGTAAAGTTGGTGAGAGTCATCGAAGAGCTGATCTACAGCGTGTCTTGAATCGGCTTGTTCTCCCCAAGATCTACGATTAATGCCGAAGGATCATCGCGTCAGCATTGTTTAGACCAACCGGAGTTATTTAGCCCGAGGAATCGCCAAGCATCAAAGCGCATCTGCACTACTACTCTGGGCGGGGTTCACTGCTATAATTCGGTCATGCGCCATCAATCACAATGGCCCAATATTCTGAAACTGGAAACCGTATAGAACTTTTGTAGCCACCACCACGCAATAGCAGCCCTGCGATAACGCACACATCAACCTGCATACGATACACCTCTGCGGCCAAGTCTGTCACCCAGTTGGCAGATGCACCTATGGCATCGCTTATGCCAATACCTGTTGCATCCTATTCCATCCCCTACCTTCCAAACATAGCATCTATCTCCGTCTTATCTTTTCTTGTCGATCCTGCTAGGTCTAACACGAAGGCCTTCTCGAATGATGCGGGATATTCTCCCGCTATGCTTTACTAGTTCAGCTTGTAGATCTTTGCGAATAGATGCCCTGATCTAGAGCTGAGGTAGATCACTTTTGGAAGGTACTTTTGATTGGAGAGCGCGTAAATCAAGTTTCGAGAGGTGCTAGACGGACTTTGCATAGTTTGAAAGAGGAAGGACGTGGAAATGGTTGAAGTTCATGATCTGATGCTCACCGTATCTTTGAAGGGTCGATATGTCGTGTCGGAAGTCTCCGCAGTTAGAGGTTTGGCAGAATTCGGTTCTTTGGCCAAAGTTCCTCCGAAGGGTTTATTTCTGTGGTTTGCATATGAACTTTCTAAGATTGGGGATAATTGAGGCCAGAATCACGCGTATTACGGAGCAGACTGCTCATGTGTAGATTCAAATCGTGTGATTGGCTACCTCTCAATATCTAGACGCCTTGCACTGCATGAGGGTTGTGTCTTTAGGCAATATGACCAACATGTTGTACAAGTCAAAGAAGAGGGGTCAAATACACATTAAATTGGTCATCTTAATGACTGGACAGACTGATTGATTGACATGTTCAAATGCGGTATGTAAATGCGATGCTTAGAGTTGCAGTGAGTAATCAATCGCTTGGAATTAAGACGGCTTTGCTAGAACCTTATTCTAAAACAGCCACTTAATGTTGCGTGACAAATGGTCTATGCGTTGTGATGAGTTCTTGAATCATGCAGCAGAACATTACAATTTTATCACATGCTAAGCACTGAACAGTGTTCACATATTGTTTGTAATAAGCTACAGGTTGAATGACTAACTTAACGTTATTTATTACCTAAGTTTGATAGTATAAGGCAAACCTCTAACTGATCACTTCTGAGTCAATGCTATGATTGATGTTTTACAATATTTAATGATCAACAAATGCCTTAAATGCAAAATGTCAATACAGGGTAGGATCCCGATGTTTGTTGGTTAACCCGCTAGCAACAACGCCACTAATTTCCCTCGCCAAAAGCTGAGCCCCAAGAGCCAATTATCGTGGCGCCGCCCCTGACAACCCCTGTAAAACTAACGGCCTCAGCTCAAATCGCGCTGGCACTATCGATAAAGCTTTTCTAAAAACACTCAACTAACGAGGCGCTTGACATTGTTTGGGAAGACTAGTTATCAATAGCTTCAACAGGATCTGCACTAAATAATGACAACCAAGCCCAACACGAGGTCGATAAGGCAGGATTTGTCAGGGGATGGGATTGATTAAACCCAGACCCCCCCCAAACTCTCTTTTCTCCAGATTGTCGCTTTTTTATTACCGAAAAATCACGATTATCGCAGAGATGGCTCGCCATTTCGTCCGTTCGTTTGTTCTTGCTGCGGCGCTCAGCCCCTTCGTTCATGCTGGGCCATGCCGCCCCTCTTCGACCTCCGTAGCAGTCGTTACGACTACTGCGGACACCAGTGTCGCGACGGGTTCTGCTACGACTCACACCAAGGAGTCGAGCTTGACTGAGTCTTTGTCTGGTACATCTACCGAGACCTCTGTCACCATCAGTGAAAGTGGCTCAACCACTGGCACTGCCACTGAGACCAGTGTCACTATCAGTGAGAGCGGATCTACGACAGAGTCTGCTTCTGCGACCTCATCCGAGACTACTCTCGCTACCAGTAAGACTGAATCTGGTTCCACCAGCGCCGAGCAGTCGACCACGACTGGTTCTGTCATCTCAACTGACATCACCACTACCGCCAGTGAGAGCGACTCATCCACCGGCACCACTCTAGCTGCCACTACCTCAACTGAGTGTACCGAGCCAGAGCCTCCTGTCTATGATGACCCCTTCACTCACACCAACTCCGAGGAGCTACCCGCAACCACATCTGAGGCGGCTACCACCACTGAAGATGCTCAACCCACCATTGTCCCGAGAGACTTCGTTCGAAGAGGCCACCCAGAGATCTTTGTCAGGGATGCCACCAGTGAAGCCGGTCTCGCCAACAGTGAAGCTCCTACCACCACTACCGAAGAGGCTGCCACCACTACCGAAGATGCTACCACCACTACTGGAGAAGCAACCACTTCTGGAGAAGCCACTACAACGGGGGAGACAACTGCCACTTCTGAAGATACCACTGCTACCACTGAAGGTCCTACCACCACAACAGATGAGGCTACCACGACCACTGAGGAGACTACCACTACTGCTCTCGAAACGGCGACTGGTTGCATCAACAATATGGAGAGACCAACGCCCGAGGGCGCCAACTGTGGTGCAAGGGGATGGATCCAGGGCACTTCCAACGATTGGAGATACCTAGGCGAAGGCCCATCTTCCTCTGTTCTCGATTGCTACACGGCTTGTCAGAAGAAGAGTAACTGTGTGACGTTCTTATACGAGAAAAACGCACAGTGCAGTCTCTATAGGGGCACTGCCACTCAGCTCAGCTCAGATCGAACTGGTGTCAAGACTTATGAGACGCAATGCTTCTGCGACACCGGTGTTGAGCCCGCTCCGACCTGCTCCTACGATGACCCGTTTAGCAACGGCGGTTTCGAGGATGGTACATTGGCCCCATGGGTAGAACATCCAAACCCTGGTGGCTATGACCCCGTCTACTCCAAAGTCGTTCCCGGCGGTGAGGGCGGTTCGTCGTATCATTTCCAAACCGGCCAGTTCGATGCCGACAAGAGCCTCTGGTTGTATCAAGACATCAAGGCCTGCCCTGGAACCAGATTCTACTGCAGCTACAGCTGGTGGTGGAATGAGTACTATGAGATTGAACAAGATAATGGGGATGTCCTGGTTCCATACGTTCGCGTTTATCAAGGTAACACCAATGTTGTTGGAAATAGATGGCCTACAGGCGAGGACCAGACAAAGACGTGGGTTCCTGCGGAGTTTACTTTCACTATGCCTAGTAGTGGCTCAACGAGGATTTGGTTTGTTGCTAGCAGTCCTCAGGGTGAATGGATCAACACCAGCGATGATACTTGTAACCCCAACTGGGTTCACAGATCCAACTGGTTCGCGCTGGACTCGATAGCTTGCCGCAGCTAGAAGAAAAGCCAGGAGGATTTCTCTTAGGTTCAAGCATACTAGTTTAGAAATTTACAGTAACTATATTTAATACCTATACTTTCACACCTATACTGGCTCATTCACGTTTGATCTTGTTATACCCGTCGTGCGGGTATCATAGTTAATCGAATTTTAGGTCAAGCTCATACTTCTTGTACCACGGCCAAAAAGTATCTCTGATCCATATATTTATCGCCCGAATGCCAGCCAGAATGCGTAAAACACCAACAATAGTGGTCGTGGAACCAAGTATATGGCTGGACCAAAGTGTCTTCTCTCAACATTAGTACACATTCTCATGTTGGCAGATAAGGTCTTATCTTACAGTTTTGTTTCCTGGTAACCCATACGTTGTTGCATGGAACCTCCACTCGTGCCCATCGATGATGATACCTGGCAAGAAACCAAGCTCTGAAATGTTGTCACCGACATCAACGGCCATGTTAAGCCACTGCGCTGCTTGCCAGGCTGCCAATTGAACTTCAGCATCTTGACTGTTCCCTGAACGACTCTTCGTCTTGATGGTCGCAGCAATCGGAAACTCTGCAGTCGGTACGAACTGAGTATGATTGACTGACCCGAGGCTGTTGCCTCTTTCTAGGCATTTGTCTCTTGCAACTAGTTCGAGAAAAGGGTCGACGTATAAGACAAAATCGACCTGCCCTTTAGGGATAGACTGTCGATGCCCTTCTGGATCAATTGTAGCCGTGGAGCCGCGATTAATGGGAAAATTAATGTTGACCGTGGAATCGTGGCTTCGGAGGTCTTACCAAGGTGCAACATCGATTGACTGACGCTCCTCCGGCTTGAAATTCTCCACCGCTGCGGTGAGAAGTGGTGTATAGACAAGGTTATTCCATCCATTTTCATCGTACTGAAGAGAATGACATTTTTGTGCCGCCTGAGCGATTTTGATCACAGCGTCAAACAATCCTTTAGTATACACTGGTTCAGATTCGACGGGTATATAGTATGAGTCATCGTCGAGCGTTGTCAGAGTGTAATCAGACCTCGGGTGAGCCTCAATTTCATCCTACAGTCAAGGTCAGTATGTAGCCATGGACTACGTAATTGACTACGCGGGAAGCATATTTACTTACTCTCAAGGTATTCGGAACAATTTTCTTATCTTTCTGAAGCACAAGCAAGGAAGCCAAAAACAGTTTCAGCGTCGCAGGCATATCGTTGTGATCAGGATTCAGAGTCTTGAAGTCGACCCAGTGATTAGCGTATTCATAGTCAGAGGCCTGCGACGACGCTGCCTCTGAATCGCATTCTTCCCCGTGAGGCAACTGGTGGCCGTGTGTAGGCGGGGATGGGGCGTCAATAGGCGAAGGGAATGCGCAACGCCTAGAAACATTTATTGGGTTGAATTTGAGCTTCTTTGCTGGCTTGTCTTCTTCATTATCGTCTGAGGGAAGACCTGTCGTGCGTGCTCTTTTCAGCCAGTACTCAACCATTCCGCTGCCGTTTGGGATAAGTTCTCCCGAACTTTCCATGTTATTGATGGATGGCGATTTAAGTTGGAATGAATGAGTAATGCCGTGCGTGATGCCACGAACTAACAAATTGTGATACGAAACAGCGCATCATCCATCAGCGGAGTAACCTGTGAATACGAGCTAGAAGCGTTATTTGCCGCTGAGACCTGTGGCTGAGAGCTTAATCCAGCCGAGAGAACCTAGAATACGAGTAACCACGTGCTACGTCCCATATCATCATCATCGAACCTCCGTTCACCTTTTGGAATCCCAGAAGAAAGAAAAGCACCATCAGGTAGATTAAAGCGATTGGACACCCGGAAGACTTGTAAACTATTATTCTCTTATCTACTAGCTACGCTTGTTTCAGCAGGCCAAGTCCTCATCCTCTGGCTGCCAGAGCATGTTGGGCATCAAGATAGGCTTCGGTGGCCATTCCCCAGCCGTATAATGACACTCAAAAGTGTGCAATCCCGAGCCAACCGAGCTGCCCTCAATCTGATCATCATTGTAAGACTGGGATGGGTCATCACTTAGCTCGGAAGGTAAGGTGACAATAGCTGATGAGTTAGGCGGCACGAGCAGGGACATTCTGAATAAGCCAGTGTCTGTCGTCCACGTCCACTTGCACTCGATTCTACCGTAAGGTCCATCAAATCTAGTCTCAGCCCAAGTCAAATTCCCTCCGGGGATTGGCTTCACGCGGAAGACCTTCCAGCCCGGCGAAGAGGCCATGGGTGTAATACCACCAACAGTGCCATGAAGCCAGTCTGCCACAGCGCCCAAAGCATAGTGATTGAAGCTTGTCATGCGGCCTGGGTTGATGCTTCCATCGGGTAACATGCTATTCCAACGCTCCCAGACTGTTGTTGCGCCCATCGTGACAGGGTACATCCAGCTAAGGCAAGACTTCTCGCAGAGCATTCGGTATGCTAACTGGGGCTGCGCAGTCCGTGTAAGTGCGTGCGTGATGAGTGGAGTGCCTGCGAATCCTGTTCCAATCTTGAACTGAGCAGCTCGCACTAATCTGGACAAAGCTTTAGCTGCAGCGGTGACTTCTCGAGATTCCTTCCCACCGTCACGGTACAGTGAGAAGCATACCGCGAGGGCGATACCTGTTTGGGTGTTCGCCATCAAGTTGCCTGCAGGCGTAATATATCGATCCTGGAATAACAACCGCAGATGAAGAACCTCAGCATCGTACTTGTTAGCTAAATCGAGCTTGTTCAACAGTCGACAGACTTTGGCGAACACTGATGTAACGTGAACTAGATATGCATCAGCCACCATTACTGAGTCAGTTCTCGAATATCCTGGCTGATCTGGTGGCGCTGTAGGGTCGAGCCAGTCACCAAACTGCCATCGATCTGGGTTCCATAACCCATCGCCTCCCTCTCTATCAACACCCCGCTCCAGCCAAGCACGCATGCTTTCAAACTGCTTCTCAAGCAAGTTCATATCATTACTGGCTGTATACAGAGAATATGGTACAAGAACAGTAGCGTCGTGCCAAAGCGCCTGGGGCATTCGTTTCGGCCAGCCAGGGAGACGAACATCTGGGCATACTAAACCTGGCACCCCATCTCGGTCTTTCTCTAGCAATTGCTCAGCAGCGAGTTCATCAAGCCATCCTGAAAGAAAGCCAGTGGCGTCACATAGGAAGGACGCTGTTGGCGTGAAGACCTGAATATCACCGGTCCAACCAAGCCTTTCGTCACGCTGGGGGCAGTCTGTTGGTATGGAAAGGAAGTTGCCCTTCATTGACCAGACGACATTCTCATGAAGCCTATTGATTGAACCATTAGAGCATCGGAAATGGCCGCGCCTCTTCATATCGCTATGCATGACGAGAGCTTCGACATTATCATCGTCAACACCAAGATGGAGCAGAGGTACCGCGTCAAGAGGCTGTGAGTTGGCATCGAACACCTCGACCTGCACGTAGCGGAATCCGTGGAAAGTAAACTTTGGAGTCCAGTCTCTCAAGACCTTGCCTGAAGATATGATGGTATCTATACACTTGGCGTGGTTGAGAGGCCGAGACCCAAGTTTACCATGCTCCATGACCTCAGCATGCTTCAATGTCAGTGTTGCACCAGCAGGAAGCTCCAGGGACTTGATGTGGAGTTTTCCCACTAGATTCTGACCGAATTCAATGATTGTATTTCCGGTGGTGCACTTGAACACTTGTGATGGTATGATTCTTTGCTTGACTCGAACCGAAGGAACCTCACTTTCCACCAAGCGCTCAGTCGGTTTCCGGCCCAATACCTTGGTGGCGTAAGAGACATACTCGCAAACAGCGTTGGATCCTTCTGAGGCAATCATGTTCCAGCCGTCGATTTCAAGACGTTGATCGTAGGTTTCGCCATTATACAGCTCGCTGCTAATGACAGGACTTGGCGTGCACTCCCAACTGTCATCTGTGACAAGCCTCCAGGGTTGTTCATTAAGATCATGCCTGATCTCAAGCTGGGCAAGTAGTGAAAGTTCTTTACCACCATAGTTGAAGCGGGTGCCTCCTTTGAAGCCCAGAGTACCAGCAAACCAGCCCTCACCGACCTCCGCAGCGATCATGTTCCGAGTGCCTGGCCCAAAGTTAAGATATTGTCCAACATCAAGAGTTCGGTACGCTAGGCGATGTTGATAACTTGTCCAACCTGGAGCCATGCACTCATCGCTCGCGAGGTGGCCATTGATGTAGATGTTATAGACTCCGAGTGCTGTGATGTATAACCGACAGGTCGGTGACTCTTGTTGAGTGAAGTGATCGGGGATAGTGAAGTCTTTGCGAAAGCGAATAGGTCGAAGCGGCCACTCTGGGCCATGATGAGAAGCGGGCGTTATAAAGGAAGTAGCCCAGTCATTAGGAGAGAGTAAGCCAGTTTCGACAGTGGCAGCTGGCGACCACTCTGTTGGCCCTGAGTCAGATGCACCGTATGCACGAACCCGCACAGTAGCTATGTCTCGGGATCGAAGTGGTGGTGCGGGCCATGATACCAGAACAGACTGTTCACTGTCGACATGGTAGGTGGTGGTCTGTGGAGTTGGCCGAGTTGGTGTAGGATGAGACGTGACTTCGATATCATATGCCTTTTGGGACCAGTTGAGCGGCACATTAGCAGGGTCAGACGCAAGGAACTGCCAGGAGATTCGAGGCTGGGATTGACCGATCCCGATGCCATCATAATGATGCTCGAAGACTGGCTTGGACAGCTTCAGTGGCATCATTGTCCTGGTCAAGGGTCAATAGAACTTCTTCCAGTCGCTGGGACCGTAACGCAAGGAAATAGTGTGGCTTAAGTTCTAGACCCGAACGACAGCTCAAGAGTGATATTTCGGTCGTTGATCGACCGACCTGAACGACTAGCTCTGCTATTGAGTCGTATCGCCAAGGTATTAATCGGGTTTGGGTGAATGAAATGAACGAGCTATGGAACGAAGTGATTCTAAGTGGTCGCCAAACGGATTTGAGAGTTTTCGGATTCTCTTGCTATTGGCTTATTATGACTTTAACCTCGGATCTTCCAACTCGCTACCCCGGATACTCTACAACCAAATGCATGTCTCGGGGACGAAAACGCGGGGGAAGTCCGGGGACTCGGCGAACTGCTCAGGTGATCCTTGAATTTCGGTCTATCTTGTAGCGAATCGGGGCTTCAAATCGACTTGATATCTCCACTGGGAAAAGAGAGAACATATAACATCAGATCAACTCCTAAAGCATCATCTATCTCTAAGAAAGTGTTTTCGGGATTGACACTATCTAACCAACCTGTCCACAATGAGTCGTTGGCGTACTATCTCCATCGCCTTGGTCGTCACCATGGGAGGATTCACCTTTGGCTTCGACTCAGGTATGTCCATCACACTCTGAAATGGCCTGAACGTGTATTCTGACTTAGCATCCCAGGAATCATCGTGACGACCTTCGGCCATCAAACCTTCCGCATTTACATGTACGGACCCTCCCAAGCCAGCACTTCTCTGGCTGGTGCCATCGTATCATGTTACAACGCCGGTCAAGCCATTGGAGCCCCAACAGTTGGATACCTTGCCGATCGCTTCAGTCGCAAGTATACCATTGCCTTTGCTTCCCTTCTCGCCATCCTCGGAGCTGCTCTACAAGCTGGTGCTGTCCATGTAGGCATGATGATTGCAGGCCGGCTTATTGCAGGTCTCGCTTGTGGTCAATTCCTCGCTGTTGTCCCGGTCTACATCGCTGAAGTGGCCAAGCCTTCTCAGCGTGGTTTCCTTGTTGGTCTTCAGGGTTTGATGACTGCCATTGGATTTTGTATTGCTAATTGGGCTGGATATGGCGGCGCTTTTGCCGTTGGTGATGCTCAATGGCGGATTCCTCTGGCTATGCAAATCCCTGTTCCCTTCATCCTCATGTTTGCCGTATTCTTTGTACCATTCTCGCCACGTTGGCGTAAGTACCCATATCGTTTGTTGTCTCGGATCCTCTGCTAACCTCACATTTAGTCGTCAGGAAAGGACGTCACGAAGAAGCCCGCCGCGTTCTCAACCTCCTCCACGATACCGAGGGCGAAACCTTTATTGAACAAGAACTTCTTCAGATCCAACAGCAGATTGAGCTTGAGGCCTCTGCTGAGACAAGCAGCTGGGCATACGCTATAAAAGAGCTCTTCTCCATGCGATACCTCCACCGCACGCTTATGGCGGCCTTCATCGTCTCTCAGTCCCAGCTCTCAGGCGCTTCTGTTATCCAGAACTTCCAAAACACGTTCTATGCCGTTGTTGGTATCACCGGTCGACAGTCGCTGTTGGTATCTGGCATCTACGGATTCATGGGCGTCATCGGAACTATCATTTACTTGGGCATCGTTGCAGACAGATGGCCTCGTGCTCGAACATTGTGGACTGGCTTGCTCGCCTTGTCCGTCTCCATCTCTATCTGTATGGCTTTGAGCGCCACCTATGGCCAAGCCGGAGAGAGTAACATGGCTGGAGCAAGAGCAAGTATCGTTTTCATCTTCATTTACTCGGCGATGTTTGCCATCTTCTTCAACGCCATGATTTGGGTCGTCCCATCAGAGCTGTTCCCAACATTCCTTCGATCAAAGGGCATGGCTTTTGCTGTGTCTTCCAAGTCTGTCGTTGCTATCTTTCTCAGTCAAATCACTCCTCTGGCACTCAAAGAGGTCAGCTGGAGGTTCTATGCTCTGTTCATCGCTTGTAACACGGCCGCCGCTGTCCTATACTTCTTCTTCCTGCCCGAGACTGGCGGTAAGACCTTGGAGGAAATTGCAGAGCTCTTTCGTGATGCTGTGGCGGTAGATATGCATGCCAACATTGAGAAGCTTGATGCCACCAGTGTCGTCCATGCTGAAGGCGGCGAGCCTCGCAAGTAGGTAGATCAACGGTACTACAATGGAGGAACTGAGAGACTGCCGAAACCTCGAGGCATTTGATTGGTGGTTTTAGTATAATTTGAATGAATGACTTTCTGACACAATTCCGTTCTGTAATGTTGAATTACCCCGTTGGGCGGTCAAATGAGCGACATGAGATCCTCCCCCCTATGTTTCTCTCGCTAAATTCCCTATAGACTACCTCCTCCACGACGACCAATCTTGTATTGAGTAACCACGGGTCCTGTTTGAGTGATAAGCTATTTCGTCTCATGCCACTGGGCCACCGTGGTTTACATAGCATGACTGAGGTTGACTAGCTATTACATCGAAACGAAACGCTCGGATTTAGTCCTGAAGTCGTTGAGTTAGAACCTCAACATCTGGTTTAAGTTGTGAGGCCACGTTCAATTTGATTCAGTTAGGTACAGGGCCCATTCGTTCTCAAACCCAGAGTTCACCGATGTGAATATGAGCAGAGACTTTAGAGGACATGTCGACATTACTCCGCAGCCACCTCCGGATTCCCCCATGTTACCAATCCGTGATACCTGGGGCTTGTCTAAGAGGCTCCTCAAGCAGAGTTAAGAGGGGGTTCCAATGGCAACCACGTTGACAAAGGGTCTGCTTCTGGCTCCACTCGAGAAGGCAGCCTAGACAAGACCCCGTTATCACAGGTCGATGTCACGGGGGAATTCAATGGCGGCTGCGAAGGCACCTATACAGATCAAGTGAGTTAGCTTGTCAAAAGAGAGAAACTTTACCGATCCGAGGAGAGCATGCTCCGTGAGACCAAGATGCTTCATAACTCGGGCGAGAGCATCGCGACCGCCGTCCATTTCGACAGCCCCGAGAATAGCTTCGACAGCCGTCGCGACCATCCCGGAACTGACCCTAGTAGTTCCTCCGTTCATGTTAGTGCACTTGTGAAGACCGCGCTCCCTTCCAACTCTATTCAAGTTATCATTGCTGATGAGGTCGCGGCGCAGCGTGGTCCAGCAATCTTGAATGTCAGCTAGATGCAACGTAAGATGCATCTGAAATGGATCACTCACGTTTCGGGAGTCCTCCCTTGACCCACAGGCTGCACAAGTAGGCTGCAGCTGCAGCGTCGCCGTAAACCGCGAGCCGATCATTCTTGGGCATTTTTTTGATAGAGCCATCCATGTAACAGACAGCCATGGAGTCGGCGGCTGCGTTCAGTGCTTGTGCACAGAGCGATTTGGAATCGAACTCATATGCGATAATAGACTCGCACTCCGCGACCTTTTGACTGAACCTGGGACAGGATGCCATGATTGCGATCAGTCACTGTAGGTTCAATGTTATGATGATATTGTGAAGATGTGAAATTTGATGAGGAGCGGTGAAGAAATGTCGTCGACGATGTCATGGATGAGGGGTACATGCGTAGAGATGCTGTACAAGTATCATTGGGCGACCACGACTGGCTGCAGGCCAGTGCTGCATTGTTAGTGTGTGTTAGGATATACTACTACATAAAGGCTTTGCCCTCCCATCATCAAGTCTTTTCTATCAGTAATTGTTGCGGCAAAAGACTGGATCTAAGATCCTTGGGGTAAAGGATGCTTCGCACGAAAAGCCCAATGGACCACCGTGATTGCTTACGAGAACGAGGGAAAATAGCTTAATGCTGACTCTCACTATTGACTTGAGCGTATGTGTTGAGCTGAATACATGGGGTTTTATACCCCTCAGCGATGTCAGCTCTAACAAGCCCTTGGCATTGAAAATTCAGCGATAGTTGCCCATTACAGCCTGTACCAGTCTTGCATAGTAGTTACTAGGAGGGACAATTATATGTTTTGGCATTTACCAGTGCGTCTATGTCAATGTCTTATCCAATCTGCCCGCACCTGCTGCTCTTGTGAGGCACAACACGAATCCCAAGCCACCACGTCGAATTCGTCCGATAGGTTTCGGTGTAAAGAATATTAGATCTATGCAACCAAGGTTCTTTGTGTCCGGCTGATCCGAAGTAGTGGTTACTCTCCCTTACTAAACCTCCCTTTCAACCTGAGAAGATGCAAGGCAACCAGCTCAATCATACCTTAGATCGGACATCTCGGCTACCTCCTGAGTGGCTATGCGGCAGCCTTCAATATCAGAGACCAGAAGCGAATGTTTTCGGTCTCACTCTGTTTCAAGAAGGTCATTAAGCCAGCCCCATATCTACCTCGTATGGCCAAGGCTCTTCACGTGAATGGCACTTCTGATCAGCGCGAGTGCCGAAAACAAGCTTTCTAAGAGCCGGAGATTAAATCACCGGTCTAGATCGTCTGCCCCAAAGGACCATCTCTCCCAGTATCATTGGTTGCCATGCTGTAATCTGCCTTGGGCCATTATTATATGTGGAGATCCCAATGTCTAAGCCTCATGATGATGACTACTGCTTTCGATATTGACTTTCGGAACGTGCCGATGGCCCCAAAGCCCTGGTCAAGGGAGACGCTCGGCAGCGATATCCGCTCCGTTTTAGCCGCTTTTGCTGAGAAGTATCATGATGCGCTGTTTGGATCTGGACTGGTCGATTTGAGGGCATCAAAGGTCCAATCGTTCGGAAAGGCGGTCGCCCGGGACTTATGGAAGACGCGTCAGCTCCAAGCTATCGAAATAGTTCGCAGCTTGTGAGGATCTTCGGCGGTAAAGCTCCAAGAGTTTGGGAGTACTGATCTAAAATTGTTCCCTTTCTTATCAACTAGGTTTACCATCGAATCGTTCGAGGTCAGGCTGTACGCGACTTTCACTAGTCACGTAAGGATTTTATCTCTGTGTTACAAGATGCAACTTTATTGTTTAGATGTGGTACGGCGGCCACTTGCATAACTTAATGGCAGTTACAGTAACTATGTTTGCCAACTGGCAGACAAAGGTCTTCAATGAGCGCTATGGGAATACCGGTCTGGCAGTTTCAAGGCTAGCCAATTTGATTGGACCTCTCGTAAAGGGGCTAAGCATAGCCCCATTAGTGGCTTCAATCAAATCTGGGGTAATCCAGGGCGAAAGGGGCATTGCATTGTCAATTGGCAAAAGTATCGAATCGAATACGAACAATGCAAGGCAGCTCGGTAGTGACGGGATATTTCCCCACTTATACAAGGTTGACATAAAGGCACAGCTAGGTCTACCAGTGGCAGTGCTCCATTTTTTTTGACAGCCCTGTCAGCTTCATTGCCGATCAGCCGTAGAACCCCAGTGTTTGACTAAGAGGCCGATATCCGAGACGGGAAGTTTCAATTCACATTATACATGTGCTTGAGTGAGTTTAGGGAGCCTGCATAAGCCAAGAGGTATATAACCATATGAGCTCCTCAGCATCTTGCCGGATCATTCACAAACAACTATCTCATCCATCCACTGAACACAAACCAATCACACACACTCAACCACCAACTCAAACCTTCATCATGCTTCTCAACAAGGCTTTCTTCGGCGCCCTCCTCGCCATGGGCACAGTCGCTGCCCTCCCCAACCCCGACGCTGAACCCGTTGATCTCGAGGACCGCAGCATCCTTCACCACTGCGGCAAGCATGCTTCCTGGGATCATGCCAAGAGCGAGTGCGTGTGCCACGACTCCGGCAAGGTCTACACCAAGAAGCACCACAAGTGCAAGTGCCCCAAGGGCGAGAAGTGGCACCACATTGAGAAGAAGTGCAAGAAATAAGCGTCTGCACTAAGCATCCCTACAACCACGACACGTCAACCTCAACATCCATCGCAGAAGAGTTCATATATACTCAACAGAGTTACATTTCATGGGCTGGTAACTGGGTAATGGGCTTGACCACTGGTGGTTTCGCGGGGCTGTTGAAGGATGTCAGAAGGGGTAATGTAACTGTACTGTTTGCATCGCGTCAAGAAACATATTCTTCAAATTAAGTCCAATTTACCATTTACGTCTTATATGGCCCCTTCACTATATCTTTAGGCTGAATGATAATTGCTTTTTCGACTCACGATGCCGAACAGCCGTGCTACTGCATACTATGACCGAATATCAGCATCAAAAGCGTCTTAGTGTCATGAAACCAGCAAGTCGGTCCGAATAAAACAATTGATAAAAGATCTCAAGCCTAAGTCAGGAAAGTCCGGGGACCCCAGGTTTTAATTCATCCACAAACTCTTGCTATTCATACCTTGAGATGAGGGTCGTTGCCGTTCATATCGTTACCTTTCTACTGTTCACCAGCGTATCAGCATCATCATGTGTATGTGCCTGGTGGAGGAACATGATAGAACCATAATAGCTGACAGCTCCAGTGTCACCAACTGGGGGAGAGTCTTGGCGATAAAATCAGCTTTCCGGATACCAAAAGCTATAATGCCACGCTGACTAGCTACTGGTCAAAGCAAGAGTCTGCGCTTCATCCCAGTTGCATTCTACAACCTACCAACGCCCACGATGTCGCCGCTACTTTGAGTATTATCAACAAACACAAAGGCTGCAATTTCTCAATCAAGGGACATGGTCATGCTCCTGCAGCAGGCTTCGCCAACTCCAACGGCGGCGTGACCATTGACATGACGACTCTCTCATCCGTATCTCCCAACAAGAAGTCAACCATTGCAAGCATCGGCGCAGGTGCAAAGTGGCTCGACGTCTATCAGCATCTCGACAACTCAGGTGTGCAAGTCGCCGGAGGTCGAAACGGAAACGTCGGCGTTGGAGGCTTGCTCCTTGGCGGAGGAATATCTCATTTCACTACCAAAGTCGGATGGGCTTGTGACAGAGTGGTCAACTACGAAGTTGTACTCACCAATGGTACTCTTATTAGTGCAAATAAGAAAGAGAACCCAGACTTGTTCCTTGCTCTGAAAGGAGGGGGAAACAACTTTGGTGTTGTTACGCGCTTTGACATTGAAACGTTTCCGCTGGGCGACATTTCTACAACAAGCATCTCATACGACATTAATGAGAGGGATAAGTTGTTCCAGGCCTTTACTGACTTACTCGACTCATCTACATATGATCCCGCCGCGTCCTTAGTTACCAGTCTTCTTTACAGTTCGGCTTCCAAAGCTTGGTCATTGTCAGCTTCAGCTGTATACACCAAGCCTGTTTCCCAGCCAAAGATCTTCAAGGGTCTTTCGGACGTGCCTCACACGAAGCTTGTGAATAACATCACGACATTGGCAGAGTTTGCTAACGAGAATGATACACCACCATTGTGAGTTCCCATATTGAGCTCAAGTGCACAACTCTGACAGGCGTAGGAACTGGCTTTTTGCGACGTTGACTCTCAAACCATCAGCTCAGAACATGCAGCGAATGTTCGAGACCCTCAATAAGACGATCTATTCTTTCAATCCACAGGACGGAGTGACATGGAGCATCGCCTTTGAACCGTTGGTAGCAGCGATGCTAAAGGGTTCCAAGCACACCAATGTCCTTGGCCTTCAATCAGCGCACGATGGCTATAGTAAGTACCCATTGGATCCTCTCATAACCATCTCCTAACAGTCATAGTTGTTCTTATCTCAGCTCTGTGGCCAAACTCAGCTGTGAATTCGGATGTTGAAGCAAAGGCAAAGGATATCCTGTCAAAATGGGAAGACGAGGCTCGTGCAAAGGGTCTGCTGCAGAAGTTCCAGTACCTCAACTACGCCGCACCATACCAAAGGCCTTTTGAGTCGTACGCAGGTGATGGGCTGGAGTTCCTCAAGTCGGTCAGCAAGAAGTATGACCCTGCTCAAATCTTGCAGAAGAGAGTTGGTGGCTTCAAGCTGTGAACTTAGTGAGCGCGGCAACGTCTTCCTCTAACAGGATATCAAGAGTAGCGACAGCACTCGTGATGCAACTTATTTGAAAAGTACAAATAGGCCGTCAAGGCTTCCAAGCAAGGAGTCTAGTGTACATTTCGTATATCTCATGTATCTCGATCTACTAGGTATCACATCTATATAACATGGCATCCTAAACCCTGGATGCCTTCGACTTGAATCCAAATGCACCAAAAAGCATCATGAAAATGTAAACAACCATCATATACAAACCTTCACCGATGAAACAAACCGCCGCAATAGGATCGCCAGCGCCTCTTCTAACAGCACCAAACATCCACTTTGCATCTTTCTTCGCTTCACCAACAGCCCACGTCAAAGGCGATGGCTTAGCAGGTCTCTCCTTGATCTTGGGTCTTGAGCCAGGGAAATCAGCGACGCCTTTCCTCTTACCCTCGAGATCTTTGAGAGTGAGGGTGTGATTCTCGTGTTGGCGGTTGCGGACGCTCTCCTTGGTGAGCATACCACGAATGGTCTCTTTTTCGGAGGCCGTGTTGTGGTTCCACCATTCTTCGACGGCGGTGAACATGTATTTCTGGATGGGTGTTTTGTGGCGTGGGAATGCGGGATGATGCATGATTGTGAGGATCTGTCGGATAGTTTCTTCTTCGTTGCGGAAGGGGTCGTCCCAGCATTTGACGACCTGTTGCGTTGTCCAGTTTGTCGTGACAGAGGAGACAAGGCCTGCGGGTTGGTTGAGCACGTTGCTGAAGTGATCCTTTGAGATGTCCGAATGGCTGGGATCAGACCCATCACCATCGAGGTATACCTCAGCAGACGTCGACTTTGCAGCTTCAGCATCAACACGCTCTTTCGCTGCCTTGAGCGCATTGCGCAGCTGCATGATAGAGCTCTCTATCATGAGCGACAGGTACTTAAAGACAAGCTGGTCTGTCCATTTGCCCAGCTGCGTGCTAGACTCCTCCGACAGCGGTTCGGCATCATGCTGTTCCGTGCGCTCTTGTATCCATTTCTTGATTCGGTCGTGGAGGTAGAAGATCGGTTCGATGGTCTGCCAAAGCTGGTTGGCGTCGAGGCTACTCGCGGCAGTTGAGCTTTGTTTGTCTTCCTCGGCTTTCTTGAAGAGCACACCGACGGTCTCGAGCTGTTGGAGGATCGGGTCGTTCGTCTTGGAGGCCAATTTGCTAATCGCTTGGATCGCGGCTTTGAGTAGATCGAAGATGTGCTGGAAGGCGATCTCGCCGAGGTTCAGTTCCTGTTGGCTGTCAGCACGGGCACGTGAAAGGAGGGGGTCGGCTTGCGCACGTTCTCGAGATTCTGCAGTGAGCCTTTACACTGGAGAATGGCCATGTCGTCGGCTTCACCGAGGATACTGTGGAAGATGTCGAGCATTCCGAAAGTGCCAGTAACAATGGGCGGGACCATGCGACTTCTCCATCGTGGGGTCTTGACGCGACAGGCTTCGCCGACAAAGGCAAAGACGTCGTGCTCCCCAAGTTCATGCAGGCAGAGTTCCGTAAAATTGCTATGCGCCGAGAAGTCCTCGAGAGTGTGAAGCGCAGCGCCAAGATGAATGAACGCTTCCTTCTTGGACTTTGGATCCTTCTCGCGGCCGAGTCGAATGCACTCGCGTAGCTCTCGCGTGACGTAATCAGCAGATGTATCCCAGCCTTTGCCCGAGTTTGCGATGTAGTTCTTCATGCCCGTCTTGGGGTCAAACTCGAGTTCGCGTGGATCCAAAGGCCCTCTCAACCTCTCGTCAATCTCCTTGGCATTACTCGGGTATCCCTTGGGGTTGTCAATATGCTCCACGTGAGTGTAGCATCCCAAGCGCTCGCGCGTTACCTCGAACTCGTCGGTCGCGAAGCCAAACTCCAAGAACCCCATGATGCTAACAATAGCTCTGAGAACCGGCTCAGGAACATTGTCAAGGCCTGTTGTATCGATGATTTGCGAAAAGTCTCGAAGCCAGTTCCCAAAGTAAATTTGTCGTCGCTCAAGCGTTGAAAATCTGTAGTGCGTCACAAAACTCGCAGGGAGGTACCGGAGGGCTTCGACGATGTCGCCATGACGCCAGACGTAGCCGTTGAATTCGCTGTTACCAGCTACTTCGCCTGCTCCAAAGGCTGAGACGCGGTCGGCGAAGAGGAGACACACGAAGGCGACAAGGAGAAGTCGTGTTGCCAATGCCATTTCGACGGAATGAAATGTGACGTCATAAATGCATTCAGGATTGACAAAAAGAAAGGATCAGCGTCATCGATGTCTTGGTAAGGTTTTTGCTTTCGGATTATTCTATTTCCGCGCCGATTAATCAATCACGAGCATGAATCATGGGACCAGTTCATGACTAACGGAAATAAACAGAACCTCCCAGTGATTAGCTTCAATTAATGGCGGTGATCACACAGAGCTATTGTGCACCTCGTCTCAGTCTAAAGATCTACTTTTACAGCTTCGCACTCGCTGATAAAGTGAAGAGGTTTCGGCCGTCACCAGACTGGTTCACATGACCCTTTATACCAATTGGCTCTCCGTTAGTGCTCGCAAGTGTCGCCAATGTATGCTCATCACCATGGTTTGCAATGAATCTCTGTCCATTGTCAACCAGCCTTCCAATTATATGGCCGAGCCTGGGTCCCTTTCGATCATAATCCACAGTATAAGTCTGTTTTCACGAAACACGTCAGACAGATGCAAATAATTGGAGCGTGGCACAAACCTCGATTACAGCTTCGCCTTGCGCTATCGGGGTAAACACCGGACCTTGAGAAACATCGCCATTATCAAGAACTTTGCTTTTCACATAAGTAGAGGTATCACGCCGCCGGTGAGCCGATAGACAAAGAGCGTGTTGCCACGATAGAATTCCTCCGTTCGCAAGCACCAAGCCGGTTTGATGCTGCCGGGTTCGAATAACTCTTGTCATCTCCGCGATTGCCTGTCAAGACCTTTAGAATATGCTCATTCAGACTCAGATGAAGGCTTACGTGAAGAGAATAATTGTTGCCTGCACCGCCAAAGGAAGTAAGGCCACCAAGTAGAGTGATAGGCTTGGCAGGCTTCTGAACATCGAGACCGACATGTTTACAAGCGAGTTTCGGGACGATGGGAAAGCATCTATAAACATGTGAGTTCCAATTCAACGTCCATGTTCCGGAACCCACGAGTAGAAGTCAAAGCAATCGATCTCGTTCTTAGTAAACGCAGCAGATTCGAGGGCCTTGTCGATTGAGTACTCGATAGCAGGACTAGAAAAGTAATTGGCTCGCTCCCAAACTAGACTAAATATCAGCATCATCTCAATCAAAGGGTAGAAGTTGACCGACAGTGTGAACTATCGTTCGAGCCAGCGCCGCCAGTGATGTACACCCATTTATCCTGGGGGACGCCTAGCTTAGTAGCATACTCGACCGAACTGATGATACAAGCCGCCGCCAGGTTTACACCATTGAAGGCATTCATTAACAAAGGGTCTAAATGGTTAGCTCATAGTCAGAGTCCGTGGCGACTACACATACAAGGTGTGCAGATCATGCGATTCTGCTTAGTTATTGTCTTAATAGCATCAACATCTCGTGGTGTTTCGCCTGCTCTCCAGCTGATTGGATGTTGACAGGCAATCTTGTCAAATTCAGCGTAAAGGGCTGATGATTCGTGATAATTCTCGTGGAATGTTTGCTGGTGATGCTTCCTGTATGCGTTTTCGTATAGAGGGTATACTTGAATCGGCATTCCGATGGAGTGCGAGGCACCGACATCTTCATCCTATCAGACAGTCTCTAATGGAGAGTTTGAGTTAATGCTTACCTTTCAAGAGTGCAGGGTCACTCGGGCCATATAACTTTGCATCAGGAGACATCGCAGTCCATCCCGGTGGCGGAAGACGCCCAGCTTTCTGGCACGCAGACACTGACACATATCAGCCGAAGAGTCTTCATTTCAGTCCGACCTCAACTTACATGACGCCAATGCCTCACCTCCTGTGACGATTGCCAGTTTCGTTTCCCCTGCTGCAACTCTGGCTGCTGCTGCGTCGCATAGCAATGCAGGCGTATGACCCCCATGGCTTGAGAGCTCAAGATGTGAAGGTTCAACGCCAAGTTTCTGAGCAAGGTGCTTTGGTAGATCATCGTATGTCCAGGACCAAGGAGGAACAACAGAAATACTATCTACATGTTTGATAACATCGACTGTTGTATCTTTGGCAGCATCGCGGATTGCTGATAAGATAAGCTCTGCCGGTTCGAGGGTATTTTCGAGGGTAAACTTCTTTTGGCGGAATTCTCCGACGCCGATAATAATTGGGTTTTGAGGCGATGGAGGCATAATGTCGTCAATCTTACTTGCTGAAAGTTGAAGAAATGATATTTTCGTATGTCATAATTGGTCTGCACGATTGCTGGTTGGTGTTTGTTTGATGTATACGGAGTTATGAGGGGTATCTTTAGCCGAGGCATCACACGGGCCTGGCGAGTCCGACTTTCTGACTCAGCGAAATCATGAGCATGAGGGATCGTCAAAGAAGCCCTCGCTCGTCGTCGGCCACTTGTTTATTCTCCGTTTTTTCTTAGGCCATCAGAATATTTGTCATAAAGCATCACAAAAACTGGGTTACTCACAAAATATTGCTCGGTAATGGAGACATGACGGGTTCTTTGCCATCTCGGACTCTGTGAAAAGCCGAATGCCGCAAACATCGTATTCCATGACTCAGAAAGGACTTGGCATGATACGATGGCTTCAGAAAGTCATTATAAGACACACTCTCCCCGCTCAACTTAACTATGTCAGCCAGATACTAGATCCAGTGTTCTTTCTCTCAGTATGACGCCAAAACTACCATCACTCATTGAAGTCGACAGCCTCGACATTCACGTCTTGATCAACGATGAGATTGACCAAATCTCACCGAGCCCAAACCCGCGTGTTCAGCATGCCCAATCCTTCGCTGGTGTCCCATTAAGCCCCGTGTCAGACCCCAGCTCTCGAGGAGGAGCTCGGTTGGAAATGCCAATGCGAAACATCTGTTGCGGTGCTCATGGCCTGTCCCTGTTTATCGTGAGCTTGTCTTCTCAAATGCCGGTACCGTTTACTGAACCCTTGACAGACAGCGAAGAAGGACGATAAGTCTCACACGCTGCTTTTCGATGCCGGTCCCGAGGAAGACGTTTTCGAGAAAAATGTCCAGAGACTCAAGCTCCCAATGGCTGAGATTGGTGCCATTGTTCTTTCGCATTGGCATAGAGATCACTCTGGTGGGCTTCTCTCGGCGATTCGTCTTGCCAGCAGCGGGAGGTCGGATAATGACGAGGTCATTGTTGCGCTTCCTCCAGATAAGCCAGCGTTTAGAGGAATCATGTTCGACCAACCCATTTCGCTAGAGGCAGACCCAACCATGGATGAGATCGATAGTGCTGGTGGTAGGACAGTTGTCTTGAATGAGGCGCGTACCATCCTCGATTATGCCTTTCTCATATCCGGAGAGATTCCGCGCCAGACAGAGTATGAAGGTGGCATCCCAGGTGGTGTTCGATATGATCCGGTCAAGGATGAATGGACAAAGGACCAGCTGATCATGGAAGAACGGTTTGTCATGTGTAAGCTCAAAGGTGAGTCCCTCTCATCACTCGGTCAATCACCGCATCTGACCTCTTTGCAGGCAAGGGCCTGGTCATCTTCACTGGCTGCAGTCACGCAGGCCTCATCAACATTGCCAGGCATGCGAAAGCTATCGACGACAGCCCTATCTACGCTATTGTCGGCGGCTATCACCTTGCAGATGCTTCACCTGATAAGATGGAGCAGAGCATGAAGGATCTCAAGGATCTCGAGCCGGCTTTGCTAATGCCGGGACATTGTACTGGGTGGAGGTTTAAGGGACTTATCGAGAAGGAAATGCCAGGTCAAATGGCTCCCATATTTGGTGGCACAAAGTATACACTGTAAACCAGACGCCTGTTGTTTCTCATGTTCCTAAATAGTTACTAAAAAGATATCGTAGGGATGGCAATGCATACCGTAGACGTGTTGGGTAGCATAATCGTTCAACGGTTCAAAGAACACACAGCCATTTGGTCGCCTAACAAAGCCCAGTGCATCTTCCGCTCGGTCTCGTTCAACATCCGTATAACCGACCCTCTTTATCCATTTCGGGATGCAACGTCAAACAAAAACAAGCAAGGGTTCCCCGCAGGTAAAAGACCCCATGCGTCGGTGATCGACATACCTTAACGCAAATTCAAGATGCGCACCTATGAGCAATTGAATCTGTGCTCGTATGTCGGCTCGTGGGGTAGCCGCACCTATCGAATCGTGAGTATGGTGTCATAAGTTTCCATTCTCGTCCCGTCTGCATCTAAGACCCGAAAGTTTTATGGTTAAATGCTTAAAATCCGGATTGAATACGCGCTTCTACGGACAACGCGAGTATAAGAGTACTGGATTACTCTGCATCTATGGGTATTTTCCACCATGCATTGATCTCTCCCTCATCGTCATCATCATGGCTTCCCTTGTATTTGCCACGCTTCTTGCCAGTGCATATGGCAAGACTGTCAAATCCTCCACTCCACCAATGGGATGGAATAGCTACAATCACTACAACTGCCGGCCTTCCGAGGACATCATCAAGATCAATGCCAAAGGTTTGGTTGATCTTGGATTCAAGGATCTCGGCTACAGCATTGTCACTGTAGACTGCGGATGGCCTTCGAGAGACCGAGATAGTGAAGGGAGGCTTCAATGGAACGAGACTCTATTCCCGTCGGGTCCCAAAGCCCTCGGAGAGTATATCCATGATCTGGGTCTAGAATTTGGTCTTTATTCTGGAGCTGGATATTTACAATGCGGTTCATCTGACATTCCTGCTTCTCTTGGTATGTGCATCGTATAGCTCTTGATAAACTGGCCAGTATACTGACTGGCTTCAATAGACTACGAGGAGATTGATGCAAAATCATTTGCTGAATGGGGAGGTGACACCCTGAAGTAAGACAGTCTACCATTTGCGATCTACGTCCACTGACAATCTCCAGATACGATAACTGTTACGCGACATCCAAGACCGACATGGTCGACGCCACCTCAGCTGAAGCAAAGAGCCCCAATCGCTTCATCAAGATGGCTGCGGCGATCAATGAGACTGATCGAGACATCAAGTACTTCCTCTGTCAATGGGGCATTGGCGAAGATGTCCCTCAATGGTAGGTTGTCACAGTAATTAGTAGTTCGTCTTCTAATAAGAATCAGGGCTGCTCCTCTAGGAAACTCATGGCGAATGAGTAACGACATCTTCAATGCCTGGAGAGCAATTTGGCGCATTACTAACCAGGTTGTCGCTCACGCCAAATACAATGGACCAGGCGCTTTTGCTGATATGGACATGTTGATGTGAGCTACGTTGCCGATCTTTCGTAACATATGCTAACCACTGTAGCATCGGTCTTGGTGCACTTTCGCATGATGAAGAACGTTTCCACTTCGGCTTCTGGTCCATGATGAAATCTCCTCTCATCATCGGCGGTGTGATGGACGCCAAGCAGATCCCAGCTGAATCTCTCGAGATCATGTCCAACAAAGAAGTCATCGCTATCAATCAAGATCCCTTGGCAGAAGCAGCGAAGCTCGTTATTCGATATACCGAAGAAGAGTGGGATGTCTGGGCCGGAAATCTCTCTTCCAACCATAAGGTCCTCGGCGTTTTGAACTGGAAGAACGAGACCCAGACAGTGAAGGTCGATCTGTCGCTGATTGGTGTTGACAAGGCGGCGGCACGAGACGTATGGGCTCATGAAGATCTCAGCATCTCAGGTATCCAGGAATTTAAACTTGCACCTCATGAGTTACGACAGCTTGTCTTGTCTGACATCACTCCGGCTTCGCCGCCTAAGGCCGCGGGTTACTATTCAGCTCAGGACGCAACTCTCTCAGGTTCAGCTTCTCTCGTCAACTGCAAAGACACTGAATGTCTCCCAACTCACAAAAAGGTTGGATCCATCGGTAGCGATGCTAAAGTGACCTTTAAGTCAGTCAGTGCAGCCAAGGATGGTCCAGTCTATCTTGGCATCGATTACATCAATCATGAGTACCATCACACGATCGGCGATTGGGAGACAAATTCTCGGAACATGTCAATCTCGGTCAACGGACAAGATGCAAAGCGATGGGCGTTCCCGAATGCTGGAGGTGACTGGTTTGAGAGCGACCGGCTCACAATCCTTGTTGATGGGTTCAAGAAGGGAGATAACAACGAAGTGGCTTTCACTGCGTCTGCTTCGGGCGGTTGGGCGCCTGATTTGGTTGGATTCGAGGTCCTGGAGTAGTCGAAAAGACCCCATCAGAGCATCCATATGTTTCAAAACATAGCAAAGATTAAGAACTATGTACGCTTAAACCCCGTTTCTAGTGATGTTGCATAACCTTATGTCTTACAATTATATGTCACATTCTTCCGGTCCAATGATCCCTGTCAGGCGTGACATCGTTTTCCGTGGAATACCCTACAGTTGAGCAATGAACTAAAGAAATCGGACCTTGAACAATAGAAAAAAGCTTCGGATTGTAACTAAACACTAAATAAAGTGAATAAGTGATCTTCAGTCCCTTTTTACGTGTACAACTAGCTGCGACTCGCCCTAATTAGGTCTTATTATGCAGAAATCTTATCATATACTTGGGGCTGTGTGAGTTCTGGCTCACGAAAGCTTAGGCGCAAAAACAACACCACGAATTATATATCACAAGAATGAGATAATGTATTGTCTCTAATAGAAATTACGACTAGGAATATCAATTATATATTAAAATAAGAGTTCTTGCCTTTACTGGTTTACCAGGTTAGATATGGCTAAGTCTCGGGTAATATCTAATTGGCACCCACCCCGCCAGAATGACGTTTAATTGTTAAGCGAGACAGAATAAAACACCAAGTCACAGATCGTCAAAAATGCAAAAAGAAATCCCCGAAACCTGGATCGAACAAGTGACCTTTCGGTGAGATGTGTTATCAATTACAGCCGAACGCTCTTCCAGCTGAGCTATTCGGGGATTGTTGGTGAAAAGGCGCTGCAAATTGGCGACATGTCGACAGCCGCCGCTGATGATCGCGATAAGCCAGATGTTTGATGTTTGCTACTTCCGATCGCTTCTATTTTAAGCGAGGCATGAGGATACGAGGAGAACACACTGGTTGTAAATGGTTTCGATGCCAATACAGTAAGGGATTGCTCTCTGTGGTGTCACGATGCCATTTATGGCAGAGAGATAGAATTGAATGCCAAGAGAAGCCCTAAATCTGAAAGGCAAAAATCACGGCATGGTAAATGGAA